GCCGCAAAATATTAGAGATTCTATTATGGGCGCTAATCTTAAACGATTTTCTTGAATTTGTTGACTTATGATAAATTTAAGGAGATTTTAATAAGTTAATTTTTTTTTCTCCATCACCGATTTACGATTTTGGGAAAGTAAAATTGCTCTTTTATGATACTCACATTGCTGGTGCTCATTAAACTTGTCTGTTGCCTTTTTCCAGTTTGAAAATGAAATTTTTGATAGCTTATCCATAGGCTGACTACCTACACCACGATAATTCAAACTAATCAAAACACAATATTTGCAAAATGCGCCATCAAGTAATTTGGAATAAGTCAACCAGTTCCACCTAAGTAGCCACAAATATTGAAACTTTAAATTTCTTTGTCCGCTTGCTGGAAATTTTAAAAGTTCATCAGGACGCCAGATGTTTTCTAATAAATACAACCGTGTATCGTCTGTTATAACTCCTTTGATAAAATTGCCGATATCATTTGCGTAAGAAACAGTCGAAGGTGCTGAATTTATGGAAATTTCTTGATGTAATGTACTTTGAAAAGCAATAGTACCATCTTCATTTTTATCATTTTCAGTTTTACTTTTCTTTGTAAAGAAATCAGTTAATAAAGTAGTTTTTAATTTCCTTTTTCCTTCCGCCATCATTAAAATGAATTTAAATTGCTTGAAGTAGTTAAAAGATACACATTAAAACACGACTATACGAAGAAGAAAGCAAATTATTATTGGTCTTCTATTCTGTCTAAATTGACTACTGTAGGTTCCTGGCTTTACATCTATATTTAACCAAATACGCAGTTTTTTTTATATAGCCTACCAACACAAAGTTTTGTGTCAACAATTGTGGGTCAAGCCCACGCCTTCCTGCCAGATGTGCATCCGATAGTATTTTATAATTGATACGTACCAATATTCATCCCACCCTCACCCCCTTTTACACCCCTTAACTGATAACCTTGTTCAGCTTTCCCTTCGCCTATTCCGACCCTGAGTGTTTGTTGTTTAAGCACTGAATGATAGCGACACAAGTCCATCGTCGTCAATAGCTGTAACTTAACGTAAAGGATTGTCATTTTGAAGGTTCTACCCCCCCCTCCCCTCACCCCTGCCTACTCCTCCCTCTGCCATCTTTATCATTTTCAGTTTACTTATCTTTTTAAAAATTAAGTGAAATGAATTTCAAATGGTTTGAAGTAGTAAAAACATACACATTATAGAACCTCAATGCGAATAATAATCAATTCCTTTGTTTGTTTTTCATTTCTAGACGCTTTCCGATTGCACTACAATCATATTAGACAACAAAGGCCTACCCACGTAGCCCACCCCTCCCTTTCGACACTCCTTAACTGATCTAACCTTGGCCAACTTTCCCTTGGCCTACTGCGTTCCAGATTATTATACTTTACTTTAGCGCGATAATAAAATTCATAACTAAATTCTACAGGCAATTCTCATCACAATGATATACATTGTTGTTCTAGAGGCTGCCAGGCTTAAGTGTTTAGTGTTTAAGCCCTAAACAATATTGACACAAGTCAATAGCTATAGCTTAACGTAAAAAAGTAGTCATTTTGGGGGTCCATGGGGGGGGGGGGTTATAACCCCCCCTAACCCCCCCCCTGCCTACGCCACTGGGGGTCATCCATAAATGATGTCACGCTTTTTAAAAACATTTTTCCCTCCCCTCCCCTCCGTTACACATCGTCATAAAAAGCCAGACCCCCACTAAAATGACGTCACACCTCAGCCTACAGTTGCAGTTGATTTTTTTTTAAAACATCGATATTTTTTTCCAAAATCCTGTCTGAACTCTGTCAAATATTCGAGAAGACAATGGATTTATCTATCTACATTCTAGATCTAAAACTACAGAAAAACTAGACTTAAGCCAGCATTAGATTCTAGATCTAAATCTCTAACTCTATCTAGATCTAGAATCTTTGCCAATAATGAGCTTCTATACTAAACTATTTCAGGACTTAATTATTTTATATAAATCTGTGTTTGTTAAGCTATAGAATTGGCTAATTTGGGATAAAATTTAATTTGAATTAATATTAGAGCCTATACACGTAACTGAAGTTTCTTACGCGGACTCTCTATGTAAACTATCCCACTAATTTTGCACCAAATCAGAAATTCCCAAATAGCTGAGTTGATAGTGTAATAGTGACCATGCGGGTGGTACGGGTCCGAGACACATTCTGTCAATGTCACATTTATTTATTTTTTGTTTTAGATGTGAATGATAAAGTTGCCTATCGGGACTTGGAAGGACACGGGGCAGGTGAAGTAGAGTTCATCTGTTTCTATGTTCTCAGCATATGAAGGGATAGTGTGGTCAGACCCATGCTCAGCCGAAATAGGTGTTTTTAAGCGATAAAAACATGTTGCCTGTGACTTGGCGGGACACTGAGCAGGTGAAGTAGAGTTGGGCAGGTGTAGAGTCTGACTTTTTGTGAAGATGTGTGACAGTGGGAAGGGAAAGATAAAATTCGTCAAATAAACATGACGTCATTTTTGGATGACCCCCGAAACACACGGTTATTTAAGAATAACGGGTACTCTAGTGTAGGTCTAAAGCCTGAAAAGTACACCCAATAATAAAAGGACGTCATTGATTCTAGAGTAAACATACAAGTAAAAAGCCAGTGCCCAAAAAATTCACAATAATGACGTCATCGATACTTGATGATACAGATAATACCGCCTAATTTATTGGTCTAATCTTAAAATTGGTCTGCATGTAGAGTTTCTTTCAGGCATCTCTTCGTGGAGAACCATTTATCTAGACGTAAATTGATAATGTAACAATTCAACTTCCTGTCGAAAGTTTGGTTTAAAAATGGCACATTCCTCGGCTGCAGCAAAATTACATGTTACCATGACGATGGGATTTACATTTCAAATCATAAGCAAGCCTAGGGTTAACCCTAGCCCAGAGGGTCGGCACTTTACAAGTGGACAACGGTAGCAAACAATATATGAACATGTGTATTGGTCTGTGGCTTACTAGAGGCCAACAAAATTTCCCCTTGAGAGCAGAGTTTCTTCCAGGCATCTCTTCGGGGGGGCAAAGCCCCCCCCCCCGAAAAATTTTTACCGCCCCCCCGAACGAAATGAAATTTATATAATTTATATAGAAAATATATACTTTTAACAGTGTCCGCCCCCCCCGAAGAAAGTCTACCGCCCCCCCGAAAATTTCAACCGCCCCCCCGGAGAAAAAAGTCTGGAAGAAACACTGCTTGAGAGTGTGGCTGTTGAAGTGCCGGTGTACCGTTACAGTGGCAAGTGTTGAGCACGCCATCTGTATTCTATCTGACCTACTACGATAGCGAATACAATAATCGGCGATACGATACCTCCGACGTAAAAAAAAGTGAAAGCTTGAAACGCCTTTCACTTGTTAGCATGGGAACCGCCCTAGTCATGCTAGGTAAGCGGGGATTTATTATAGTATTTAACAGAATTTGGCGGATTCAAAAGGGTTTTTTTTATCGCATAACGGAGCATCGTTTCTAAAACACTTAAATACAGGCCTTGAAATCAGAGGCGTAGCTAGATGTTCAATGGGGCGCCAACGCGAATCACTAAATATAAATGTGAAGGGGGTGCAAAATAAATATTTCGCCCCGGGTGCCAAAACTGATTACTACGCCCTCTTGTAATATTGTAAACGTCACTACTTAACTCATGCTTTCTTCAGATGGGGGCAGTAGCGTAGCGAGGGGGGGGGGGCGGGGGGGACATATGTCCCCGGGCGCCGACCTTAGGGGGGGGGGCGCCAAATTGAAAGTTTGAGGGGGGGGGGGGTGCAAATGAAAAGTTCGAGGGGGGGGGGTGCACATCGAAAGTTTGAGGGGGGTGTGCAAATGAAAAGTTCGAGGGGGGGTGCAAATCGAAAGGATGAGGGGGGGGGTGCAAATGAAAAGTTCGAGGGGGGGGGTGGAAATCGAAAATTTGCTCCCAAGGGGGCGCCAAATTGAAAGTATGTCCCCGGGCGCCGGGAAGGGTCGCTACGCCTCTGGATGGGGGGGGGGGGCATTAGTTTCCATATTTATAGGGCAGCATTTCTAATTATTACCAATTGTTTTTCATACACCAAACGCCATGATGGGGTACCTCGTGCTACAATGTAAGAACCGTTAATTTAAGTACTATATTGTGTGTGAGTGTTAGTTAGACTATGTGTGTCAGTTAGACTGTGTGTTATATTGGGTGTTAGCCTGTGTGTTATATTGTGTGTTAGCCTGTGTGTTATATTGTGTGTTAGCCTGTGTGTTATATTGTGTGTTAGCCTGTGTGTGTTATATTGTGTGTTAGATTGTGTGTGTTATATTGTGTGTTAGACTGTGTGTGTTATATTGTGTGTTAGACTGTGTGTTATATTGTGTGTTAGACTGTGTGTTATATTGTATGTTAGACTGTGTGTTATATTGTGTGTTAGACTGTTTGTGTTATATTGTGTGTTAGACTGTGTGTTATATTGTGTGTTAGACTGTGTGTGTTATATTGTGTGTTAGACTGTGTGTTATATTGTGTGTTATATTGTGTGTTAGACTGTGTGTATTATATTGTGTGTTAGACTGTGTGTGTTATATTGTGTGTTAGACTGTGTGTATTATATTGTGTGTTAGACTGTGTGTATTATATTGTGTGTTAGACTGTGTGTGTTATATTGTGTTAGACTGTGTGTTATATTGTGTGTTATATTGTGTTTTAGACTGTGTTATATTTTGTGTTAGATTGTGTTTTAGACTGTGTGTTATATTTTGTGTTAGACTGTGTGTGTTCATTCAGCCAATGAGACAACATCATTCGACGAATAAATCACGGGGATAAATCTTGACGCAGGTCACGTGACCTTACATTTCCTGATGAGTAGTCGATACCGCCGAATTCTCCGAGCGTCCTAACGCGACTACTGTGGCCCCCATATTTTGATACACCGCCAGCTATTGCAGCGCTCAGAGAACAGTGGGCTACAGTAGGCTAACATCAAGCGTGACAACTCACACATTCTGTTTCCTCAAGTGTTCGCTCAATTACTGGACTGTTGACCACTATTGTCCACTCCAGTAGTCGATTATTACCTAATTATTGCCAGTAATTTATAAAGGTTCTGAGAACGTGTCAAGTGCCGTCTGCTGGGCAAGTCGGTCACGCTGATGACGTCATACCGGCTCCGTTGATGGCGTAACGACCATTTATTTTGTGGCGAATTTTTTTACTAGCAACAAGGATCGCCTCATTTCCTAGGATAACTGCCGTTTTCATAACAAGGAATTGTGTTAGTTGTGTTACTTGAATCAAAACTTTTCAACTACAGTTACAAATGTTGGGGAAAAACTTCTCATCTGTAAAACTGTTTGATCACAGAACGGTTAAAATATAAAAACAGAAGACTTTATAACAAGATAAGTCACAATGGTCAATCATACCTGGATGAGTGGACATTTTTACAGCTGGTGAGTATTGTTAACCCTAACCCAATACTTTATTCTAACCTGCAGTACATGTAGTCGTATTTCATGCTGTTCACGAATACACGTGCTTACCATACCACAACCCGTGTTACACTAAATTTTACCGGTTGCTGATATATTTTTTCGTATTTTTACAAGCTTTTATTTAACTCACTTCCTCTGTCGTCAGTCGTCAGTCGTCAGTCTAGACGGAAACGCAGGAGTGAAAATTCGGACAGTTCTACTTGACCGATACGATTCACAGTTGGCACGTGGGTCAAGACATGAAGACAATGCAATCTGAAACTAAATTTGACTTAATTGGATGCCTAATTAATTTTTTATGAATTAATTAAAATTTGGACCGAATTAGTAGGCATGTCTAGCCAACCACACCACACGCGTCATCACCTTTAATAGCTGCGCCATCACGTAATGGCTGCGTTCAAAAACCATTGCGCGCCTACTGAACGTGATGTATAGTAGGCGCGCAATGGTTTTTAGTCATGTAACTCTATTGTAAATAAAACATGTAAAGTACTGAAAAAAAAATTCATAAAAAACGTTTTAATAACAAGCTTTTATGTAATGATGCACTAAAAAGTAGAAAATAAATTATAGACTACTATTTAAATAACTATAAAGAAAAGCGTGGGTGTCTTCCATAACATTAGTAAAGGTATCCAATCGGTACTAAAGTGACCCACGCTTTTCTTTATAGTAATTTAAATAGTAGTCTATAATTTATTTTCTACTTTTTAGTGCATCATTACATAAAAGCTTGTTATTAAAACGTTTTTTATGAATTTTTTTTCAGTTGTCTTTTTTTTTATTGAACACCATGTCCCCACACCATATATTTATTTAAAGATTGCCCTAAGCATAGAAATCGATTTTTTAAACCAATGTTTAATCCATCAATATTTAATACATCAATATTTAATCCATTATTTCTTCTAATAGACATTAACTAGGCAAACACCTTGGTTGAAACTCATATTGATTTATATGGGGCCTTTAACTTTAAGATCGTTTTTTTATGCTAATAAAATATAATGTCTAAATAATTGAGCACCAAAAAAAAAATCGAATGTTTTCCCCCCAACCAACCTAGTTTAAATGTGACGTCATTCCCTAACTGTCATGTGTTTGTGGCGAAACTGTGTCAATAGAATGATTGATGTCTTCAATCAAGAGAATGATTGATGTCTCTGACCCTAAGACACTCTAGACTTTTGGCCAAACTTAATTGGAGTAAAAAAAATATGTAATACGTCTGGGATTCTTAGATCTTTACACATACATCTCTAACCCTAACCCTAACCGGTAGAATACGTCTGGGTCTGCAAGGTCTTTACACATACATCTCTAACTCCTAACGGTTAATCTGGACATGAAAGAACTGCTAAGCGTGGATACATCAAGTAAAGTAGATTTTAAAAAATCAATTTAAAAATTTTCTCATCTCTGCAACATCCTTTCATATAATTATCTCGTCCTAAACAAAAAAAAATCTCTCTGTCTCGTCGACCCTCATTCATACCCTTATCTCTGTACCTTCTTCTCCCCCTCCCACCCCCCCCCCCCCCCTCCACCCAACCACACACACATGTTTCCTGATGATCGCACCAGATAACGTTTCCCATCCTTCACTCCTATACGCATCTCCCCTCGGGGTGAGATTTTATTTTGGCAGGTAATAAAGTGAGCTCTATGTTTAACTTGATAACTGTCATTTCATTTACATTTTTAAAGTTTTGATCATGTCTATCTTACGTCACCGTCACCTGAGAGTTAAGTGCATTTAGTCACGTACTCTACTGGTTAGGATTAGGGTTAAGGTTACGTGCATGTAGTCACGTACTCTACCGGTTATGGTTAGGGTTAGGGTTAAGTGTAGATAGTCACGTACTCTACTGGTTAGGGTTAGGGTTAAGTGTAGATAGTCACGTACTCTACTGGTTAGGGTTAGGGTTAAGTGTAGATAGTCACGTACTCTACTGGTTAGGGTTAGGGTTAAGCGTAGATAGTCACGTACTCTACTGGTTAGGGTTAGGGTTAAGGTTACGTGCATGTAGTCACGTACTCTACCGGTTATGGTTAGGTTAAGTGCAGATAGCCACGTACTCTACTGGTTAGGGTTAGGGTTAAGGTTAAGTGCATTTAGTCACGTACACTACCGGTTATGGTTAGGTTAAGTGCAGATAGCCACGTACTCTACCTGTTTGGGTTAGGGTTAAGTGCATTTAGTTAAGCACGTATTCGGTATTGTTAAGAATTCTTAAAACGAGACGGCTATTTTGTAATAAGTAAAAAAATGCATCGTTTTCTAGTTTTAAATAAAAATTCTGACAAAATGTCAAAACACAACAGAATATTGAACTGTTCAGATATTAAGTCCCGTGAGTCTTTGAAAGCTGAGTAATTTTGTTTACCGGAACAATTTGTTTTTAATCTTAGTTGCTTTCAAGTAACAGCCAATAAAAGGACTTGACTTAAAGTTAAACCAATGTTCTCACTAAAATTGAACATAACAAATGTATCCCTAAGAGGGAGGCGCCTAATTGAGACAATCAGCCAACGTACAAGAAACATTTTATCTTAAAAGCAAATGATGTACATGATTTCTGTCTCAAACCATAAACACATCTAACTTGGTAGTTCCACGTGAAATGAAAAAAGTACAGATTTAATGGTATTTTAAAATGGTATTTTAATATAACAAATCTTGTGGCCCTTACAAAAGTAGACATCCAGTTTTACATCTTCAGAAAACCTCTTTCATTTTGACAAATATTGCGCAGTCTTTGTCAGTGTGGATTAGAAAAGTTGCGGGTAGGATGGTGTAAGGGAGAGGGTTGGTTGGTGTAAGGGAGCGGGTTGGGTGGTGTAAGGGAGGGGCGCGGGTTGGATGTTGTAAGGGAGGGGCGCTGGTTGGATGGTGTAAGGGAGGGGCGCGGGTTAGGTGGTGTAAGGGAGGGGCGCGGTTGGGTAGTGTAAGGGAGGGGCGCGGGTTAGGTGGTGTAAGGGAGGGGCGCGGTTGGGTAGTGTAAGGGAGGGGCGCAGGTCGGGTGGTGTAAGGGAGGGGCGCGGGTTGGATGGTGTAAGGGAGGGGGTTGGTTGGTGTAAGGGAGCGGGTTGGGTGGTGTAAGGGAGGGGCGCGGTTGGGTAGTGTAAGGGAGGGGCGCGGGTTAGGTGGTGTAAGGGAGGGGCGCGGTTGGGTAGTGTAAGGGAGGGGCGTGGGTCGGGTGGTGTAAGGGAGGGGCGCGGGTTGAATGGTGTAAGGGAGGGGCGCGGGATAGAGAGAAGTGTATAGATCTATCAGGAGATTATGTACTGTTGTAGAGTGTGTGTGTGTGTGAATGTGTGTTATATAGATAGAGAGAGTGTGTGTGAGAGAGTGTGTGTTTAGTTATAGTGAGAGTGTGTGTGAATGAGTGTGTGTGAGTGTGTGGGTTATATAGAGTGTGTGTGAGAGTGTGTGTGTAAGTTTTAGAAAGATTTTGAGAGAGTGTGTGGGTTATAGTGAGAGTGTGTGGGTTATAGAGAGAGTTTGTGGGTTATAGAGAGAGTGTGTGGGTTATAGAGACAGTGTGTGGGTTATAGTGAGAGTGTGTGGGTTATAGAGAGAGTGTGTGGGTTATAGAGAGAGTGTGTGGGTTATAGAGACAGTGTGTGGGTTATAGAAAGAGCGTGTGGGTTATAGAGAGAGTGTGTGGGTTATAGAGAGAGTGTGTGGGTTATAGAGAGAGTGTGTGGGTTACAGAGAGAGTGTGTGGGTTACAGAGAGAGTGTGTGGGTTATAGAGACAGTGTGTGGGTTATAGAGAGAGTGTGTGGGTTATAGATAGAGTGTGTGGGTTACAGAGAGAGTGTGTGGGTTACAGAGAGAGTGTGTGGGTTACAGAGAGAGTGTGTGGGTTACAGAGAGAGTGTGTGGGTTACAGAGAGAGTGTGTGGGTTATAGATAGAGTGTGTGGGTTACAGAGAGAGTGTGTGGGTTACAGAGAGAGTGTGTGGGTTACAGAGAGAGTGTGTGGGTTATAGATAGAGTGTGTGGGTTACAGAGAGAGTGTGTGGGTTACAGAGAGAGTGTGTGGGTTACAGAGAGAGTGTGTGGGTTACAGAGAGAGTGTGTGAGTTACAGAGAGAGTGTGTGGGTTAGATTAAAAAAAACTCTCCCCCAATGAGCCGTTTATCAATGCTTGGTAAAATTGTATCTTTGCCCGTCTAAATTATCAGACTGTTAATTAAGAAACGTTTTTCTGTTTAGTTACAAGCATATCTTCTAGCAATGTATGTGTCTAAAAACCAAGTTTTAATAGCAGTGACCTAGAAATAAACCGTTAAGAATTCGCATTGCATAAACCAGGGGAACTAACCACGTGCACTTGGTCGGCTGCTGACAGTTGCTAGACTTGTGCGAGCTTCTCTACGTCTTCCCTCAAATCTCGATCACACAGAGATTCGCCATTTCTAAAGTTGGTTTTTATTTCTCTCAGATAAACCATGCATTCAACGATGGACGGAGACACGGAAAATATTATCCCAACCAAACTTGTCGTTGTTATATTCATACTGATCATCATCGCCTGTTTCCTAGGCAACCTGGCTGTGATACTTGTTGTTATTTTTAGACCAGGTGAGTCTGACGTGTTTATTTTTTATTTATCTAATTAATTATTCTGTCTTTGTAGATGTAAGAATATATTCGGTTGTTCTTGTCGCTGTCTATGTGCTGATCGATATTTTATTCTTCTTTCTCGCAATTCTAAACAATTCTGTGCTCAACTTCTTGCCTGATTTCAATGTTTATCATCTCGTTGAAACTTCTCTCATTATATCCAGTGATCCACGTAACAATGTTATCCAAATATTGTAACAATGTTATCCAAATATCCATGTAACAATGTTATCCAAATATCCGTGTAACAATGTTATCCAAATATCCGTGTAACAATGTTATCCAAATATCCGTGTAACAATGTTATCCAAATATCCATGTAACAATGTTATCCAAATATCCATGTAACAATGTTATCCAAATATCCATGTAACAATGTTATCCAAATATCCGTGTAACAATGTTATCCAAATATCCGTGTAACAATGTTATCCAAATATCCATGTAACAATGTTATCCAAATATCCATGTAACAATGTTATCCAAATATCCGTGTAACAATGTTATCCAAATATCCGTGTAACAATGTTATCCAAATATCCGTGTAACAATGTTATCCAAATATCCGTGTAACAATGTTATCCAAATATCCGTGTAACAATGTTATCCAAATATCCGTGTAACAATGTTATCCAAATATCCGTGTAACAATGTTATCCAAATATCCATGTAACAATGTTATCCAAATATCCGTGTAACAATGTTATCCAAATATCCGTGTAACAATGTTATCCAAATATCCGTGTAACAATGTTATCCAAATATCCATGTAACACGGTTATCACGTGTAACATTGTTTATCTATATAAACTTCATTAATCTGAAAGTTCACTAATCTACCCGTCTTTTAAAATGAGTATTTCTCTATATAAAATCCCTTTTTATTCTATAAAAAAATAGCTTTCACGTATACATTTATCTGTCAACATTGACCATAACGTGTATTGAACTATCTCTGATCATCGACTCACCCAACTGCCAGTTTCTTACCCTCTCTCCATTCTGACTGACCCTAACTCTAACCCTCTCTCCATTCTGACTGACCTTAACTCTAACATTCTCTCCATTCTGATTGACCTTAACTCTAACATTCTCTCCATTCTGATTGACCTTAACTCTAACCCTCTCTCCATTCTGACTGACCTTAACTCTAACCCTCTCTCCATTCTGACTGACCTTAACTCTAACATTCTCTCCATTCTGATTGACCTTAACTCTAACCCTCTCTCCATTCTGACTGACCTTAACTCTAACATTCTCTCCATTCTGATTGACCTTAACTCTAACCCTCTCTCCATTCTGACTGACCTTAACTCTAACCCTCTCTCCATTCTGACTGACCTTAACTCTAACATTCTCTCCATTCTGATTGACCTTAACTCTAACCCTCTCTCCATTCTGACTGACCTTAACTCTAACCCTCTCTCTATTCTGACTGACCTTAACTCTAACCCTCTCTCCATTCTGACTGACCCTAACTCTACCCTTGACAGCTGTACCGCGACATTTAAAAGTCCTTGAATCACTTCTTAAACCTAACCATTGCTATGTTAGACGTTATCTTTGTGTACAATATGAATTGAAACATTTTATTTACGGTTATTCTAGATACTATTTTTTTTAAATTTACGAATTATAGCGACAAAGGAGAATGCTATATTAAAATTTAATAGCTAAGCCATTTATTTTGGTGTTTCTACTTTTGATTATAATCTTGTGTAAATTTAAAGTTCGGTAATTAGCGATTTGATCTAAAAATAAGGTGACCACTTTTTTAAAAAAGTATTTTAGTTGCTGACATACAAACACTATAGTACATACATAGATAACAATCACATCCACTTTACTAGTACGCGTAAATTTGTTATTGTCTCCCTCTCATTGAAGTTAAATGTATTTTATTTGGTTTTACCTCGCATCTTTGATGTTAAATGCATTTTATATGTTGTTGTCTCCCTTCACTGTAATTAAATTATTTTCTTCCTTTTTAGTTCTTCACACGTCGACGAGTTTTTTTCTTCTCTCACTCTCCATCGCTGACCTACTGGTTGGTATTGTTGTCGTCTCCTTGACCCTGGTACACAAACTTAACATGGATTACGCACAAAGTAAGTTTTTAAATTTCATCTTTCCATCAAGCAAAGTTAGTGCTAACGGTGTTCAACAATTAGTTCCAAAAAATAGAACTAAAGGCGTAATAAAAATATGGTGCTGTTTTTCTTTAATACAAATCATCCAATTACTTAAGGGTTAGGGTTAGGGTTAGGTTAAGGTTATGATCCCATCACGTAATACAATGTCAGACACGGGCCGGTCAATGGGGGGGGGGGGGGGGGGGGAGGAGGATATTGATAAAATCAAATGTGTGAACTGGCCAGTCACTGGGGGGTATATATGGACAATACATGCAATAGAAGCACAAAGTTTGGTAGGAACCCATTTACAAAAAAGCCATAAACAGCATAAATGTGTAAATGTTATTGAGCCTTCTACCAAATACCACAATTTGATCAAATGAATTCAAACATATTTCTAGAAAGTTTAAAATGTATTAAATGTCTATTTTAAACATGTGTGCATGTAGTATTCTTCTTATTAGTCAAAGTAAGTTCAAGCTTCAAGGACTGAGCATGCCTACTAGCACTCACTTACTTTACAAATGTAGAGAAAACGTTGGGGAGATTGTAACATTCTAACATCTAACCCTAAACTTCCACCAATGTAGAGAAAAGTTTATAGTGTAGAGAACACATAAAGATATAAACACGACAACATTTTTCAACGATTAGCAAAAAATTCGAATCACCTGCAAACCGATCGATCACTGCAGTCAGTTAGAGTGTGTGGTTTGGGCCACTGCAGTAAGTTATGTTTTTAGTTCTCCTATACGGAGTTTAGAGAAAATTTTGTAATCGTTTACAAGAATTAAATGATATTTTGATATTTTTTTCCGTTTTACACCCCCCCCCTCCCTTCCGACTGTATCGTATATGGAATAAAATGATGTATTGTAATCGTTTTTTAAAAACTTTGACCATTTATAACTTTTTCAAATATGTACGTCTATGTGTGTCTGTGTGTCGTTGTGTTTGTGTGGGTATCTGTGTGTATGTGTGGGTGTATGTGTGTGAGAGAGAAAGAGAGATAGAGTGTGTGTGTGTGTAAACACGATAACTTGAGTACCCATATTAGTTGGGTCGACGAAATTTCATCTATAAGTATTATAGATATCTATAAGTGTTGGTTAGGGTTACAGTTAAGTATTGATAATAATTGCATTTTTCCTTCCACTCTCTCAAAAGCCTGTGATTTCTATAGATTTTTTTTACAGAACGTGCCATACCCCTTAGAGTTAGAATATACGAGAAAGTTTAAGGGAAATCACTACTTTATTATTTATTTTATTCGTTTGTATGTTTTACTGATGAGTTTCTGTCTGTGCAGGTTGTGAGTAGATGAAGTAGATGAAGTAGATGAAGTAGATGAAGTATATAATTTAGACGACGGTTGGCTTTATATTCAGGCTTATAAATGTATTGAACAAATGTACTTTGCGATTTGACAGTAAACAAATTAAACATCTGAAGATTGAAGTGTGAAATTATTGTTTCGTCTCGGGATTTTTCTGTGCCCACTTCTCTAACTAGACTCATTATTTTTTCCAGCCACAATCAAATGTAAAAATATTTAAATCGGCTATTTAAATTCCCTCAGATGTAATGCACTTTTGTCGTCATCTGAGCGTCCAATTTGTCCATCTCGTGTTGTACATTTTAAGATTTTGTAAATTGTTTGGTTTGAAACAAAAGTTGTGTAAAGACATACAACGCATACAGAAATAAACTCAGTGTAAATATCGATTTCAATATTTTCTTCCGCGATAACGAAAGCAGGCGTATAATTACATTCATTAACTGGGTGTAGTTAGGAATAACTCTAATTAGCGTGTCGATTATCCACTAGTTTGTATACACCAATCAACAAACAGGTAGTAATCAACCTAGATTTATGCGCTCCTTTGGTTTGGGATTTCTCGTAGTTTGTGATAGAGTTTAGCAGGAATCAAAACAAATCTTCTGCATGTAAAATGCTGACATCACGCCTCTGTTTTACTAAGATGACGAAAATAAATAAACCGGGAGTGATCTCCCTTAACTTTCTCGAATATTCTTATATGAAACAACAGGGAATGGTAACTATGGGATATAGACATGATTATTAATCCATTTTAAATACTTAAACTTTTTAAAATAGAATAGAATCTATAAAAAAGAATTGCACACCAAGTGAACGCCAAGTAAAATGTGCATAATAGTGCGGAATAAAGCTCAATTCTGTATGTTTGTAAAATGTTTGTCGTGGATACTTGGATGGATTTAAGTGTTAGATAATTAAAGCGCTCATGGCCTAAATGCATGGTTTAAAAAATTAATACTGAAAGTGTTGGGAAATAATATTCATTTTTCAAACTGATAGTAATAATTGTCGGCATGTTCATTAAACACAATTTAAAAAAAATATCATCTTTTACAAAAATTCTAATTATGTCTGAAAATTATTTATATTTAGACCTTTAGCACTTACTTCCCTTTGATAAATTAGGAAAACACAATTACTTCCCTTTATAAAACATTGCATTAGTGGAAAAGAATTTACTTTTTATTACTTTGTTTTGGTGTTCGGAAAAAAATAATTACATAATTAGCGGGGATCGATCAAGTGCAAATGTTGTAGGTATTTTAACACTGCATTTTATTTAATCTATACACTGAACTTACTGTTTACTAATTATTTTTTTGAATCAATAACAGTTAATAAGCCAGGTCCTACATGTCCTATATGTTTATTTCTTTCCGTTTACGGATAAGCTTGGAGTATTATAATTGTTCATTAAATTGAAACAGGTGCGTCCGCCGGCGCCCCACGAGGGTTCAATTTGGCGCCCTGGGTTATCCCGTGAGCGCTATGGTGCATAATTTCGCTTTAAACACTGCGATAGAGTATGGAAAAGAAAGGTTACTATAGTCTTTAAGTGAATCGAATCCGGGCGTCCTCTGGCGCCCAGACATGGTGCTATTTGGGGTTCCCGGGCCTCCCGTGTTTGGTTTGGCAGCTACGTTCGTTTAAGTGAGTGCAAAAAACTATGAATAAGTTAGGGTATTATAGTCTTTTATTAAGCTGAAACGGGCGATTCCGCCGGCGCCCCAGCATGGTGCGATTTGGCGCCCCAGGCTAGACTATGAGCACTTTACGTTTATGTTCGCGTTTGTGTTTTCTTTGTGTTTCGGTTGGGTTTGCGTTAGTAGTTGGGTTTGCGTTTTGATTTTGTTCGTTTTCGTTCTTTCTTTTTCGTTTTCGTTTGTGTTTTTTCTTTGGGTTTGTGTTTGTATTTGTGTTTGTAGTTGGTTTTGTGTTTGTGGTTTGCTTTGGGTTTGTCTTATATTTTGTATTAGTGTTTGCGTTTATGTTATGATTCCTTTCTTTATTTGCTTTTTGGTTTTGGTTGATTGTGGTTAGGGCGGGCAATGCCGGGTATATGCTGATTACTAAACACACATGTCATGTTTCTTTACAGATAGGTTTCAGAAAGCTCTTTTATAGACACCTGCACGAAACTACAAGAAGATATACAATTTTATATAATACTAGCCGTCCCGGTTTGTGTTGTGTTTTGTTTGTGTTGTGTTGTGTTTTGTTTGTGTTGTGTTTTGTTTGTGTTGTGTTGTGTTGTGTTGTGTTGTGATTGTGATTGTGATTGTGTTTGTGTTGTGGTTGTGTTTGTGTTTGTGTTGTGTTGTGTTTGTTTGTGTTAGTTGCGGTTCTTTTTTGTGTGTTTTGGTTTTAGTTGATTGTGGTTTGGGTGGGCAATGCCGGATAAATGCTGATTACAAAACACACATGTCATGGTCCTTTACAGATAGGTTTTTCACAGAGGCCAGAGCAGGGCCTGGCCGGGACGGCTAGTACTTTATAAATTCCCATGCGTTTTTCGAGAAATTGAAAATAGAGAAAATTACTACTTCTAGTCAACAGAGATTACTCAAAATTTGACAGAGGGCAGAGAAGTAGCTTTTACTCACATGTGAAATTTCATTTATTTGTGTGAAATAATACTCAAGTTATAGGCTTTTGAAAAGTTGAGAGTAGAAAAAGTACCACTTCTGGTTATCGGAAATAGCTCAAAAGTTGATACGGATCTACGATTTTGATATAATACTTATATATGAAATTTCATCAACCTAGCTGTAACTGTACTCAAGTTATCGTGTTTACAGATGCACACACACACATACACACACACAGACATACAGACAAGATGGCAACTATGTTTTTCTGACTCAGGGAGCTGTAAACGCTCCCGATTTTTTTTTTGCACGATTACAAGACTTTCTCTAACAAAACAAAAGTTACCAATGTAAACTGTGAATGACAGTGCACATCGATACATCTCAATTTACTCAACATGCATCTTTTTTTCTTTTATCTCTAGATGTCAGTGATTTAGCGTGCGTGGTTCTTCCATTTATAGAATTGGCTTGTGTGACTGCTAGCGTCTACTCTCTCTTGTTTGTCAGCATAGATAGGTATGTACACATTCATTCATGTCTATATGTATGTACACATTCATTCATGTCTATAGGTAGGCTATATCACACATTCATTCATGTCTTTAAGTATATCACACATTCATTCATGTCTATAGGTATGTACACATTCATTCATGTCTCTAGGTATGTACACATTCATTCATGTCTATAGGCATGTACACATTCATTCATATTTTGGCATATCCCACATTCATTCATGTCTATAAGTATGTACACATTCATTCATGTCTATAGGAATATATCACACATTTATTCATTTCATTTATATAGGCCTATCACACATTCATTCATTTTATTTCTTTAGGTATATCACACATTCATTCATTTCATTTCTTTAGGTATATCACACATTCATTCATTTCATATGAATAGACATACATTGATACATTGTCTACTTATAGGCATATACTACATTTATTCATTTCACATCTATAGATATACGTAATTTAATTGCTAATGTAAAAACCATGTATTAGTGAATAGATTTAGTGACTTAATGAAAACTTGCCCCACAGGTACAGAGCGATAGTGCTAGCTCGCAAGCCAGCCCAGAACACGTCCATAGCCCTGTCTTTTGTCCTTGTTTGGGTGTGGGCCTTTGTCTACTCGGCCAAAATTTTTGTACAGGATTTCTTCAATTCTTCCATCGACGAGGAACAGCCGATAGAACATTCCATTGAAAACACAACCGATATTATATCAGTGGTGACTAATGAAACAACAGCAGAAGTTTTGCCCGTCATCAACACCACAGTTAGCCAGGTAGATTTACCTGAGCGCGCTTACTGCAGCATTTTAGTTGAGGAGGACGATGATGATTTACCTTACAGGTAACTATTTTCTTCTAGTTAAATGTGTCTTCACAGGTTGTCCTAATACAAATTTCATGCCGTGGGTTATGGTTAGGTTGTCCTTAGACAAATTTCATGCCGTGGGTTAGGGTTAGAGTTAGGTTGTCCTTATACAAATTTCATGCCGTGGGTTAGGGTTAGGGTTAGGTTGTCTTTATAAACATTTCATACCGTGGGTAAGGGTTAGGGTTAGGTTGTCCTAATAAACATTTCATACCGTGGGTTAGGGTTAGGGTTAGGTTGTCCTTATAAACATTTCATACCGTGGGTTAGGGTTAGGGTTAGATTGTCCTAATAAACATTTCATGCCGTGGGTTAGGGTTAGGTTGTCCTTATAAACATTTCATACCGTGGGTTAGGGTTAGTTTGTCCTTATACAAATTTCATGCCGTGGGTTAGGGTTAGGGTTAGGTTGTCCTTATAAACATTTCATACCGTGGGTTAGGGTTAGTTTGTCCTTATACAAATTTCATGCCGTGGGTTGGGGTTAGGGTTAGGTTGTCCTTATAAACATTTCATACCGTGGGTTAGGGTTAGTTTGTCCTTATAAACATTTCATACCGTGGGTTAGGGTTAGGGTTAGGGTTAGGTTGTCCTTATAAACATTTCATACCGTGGGTTAGGGTTAGGGTTAGGTTGTCCTTATAAACATTTCATACCGTGGGTAAGGGTTAGGGTTAGGTTGTCCTTATAAACATTTCATACCGTGGGTTAGGGTTAGGGTTAGGTTGTCCTTATAAACATTTCATACCGTGGGTTAGGGTTAGGGTTCGTTTTCCTAATAAACATTTCATACCGTGGGTTAGGTTAGGGTTAGGTTGTCCTTATAAACATTTCATACTGTGGGTTAGGGTTAGGGTTAGTTTGTCCTTATAAACATTTCATACCGTGGGTTAGGGTTAGGGTTAGGTTGTCCTTATAAACATTTCATACCGTGGGTTAGGGTTAGGGTTAGGTTGTCCTTATAAACATTTCATATCGTGGGTTAGGGTTAGGTTGTTCTTATAAACATTTCAACATTTGGTTGTCCTTGTTGCAAACATTTTATCCCTTGTGAAGTCCGTGTATCAGAAGAAGCCGCAAAACATTTTTGTATACTTCCGCACTGCCATGTCTGACTTGTTATGTCATGAATTGTGAAATACAACGTGGCAGAAAAAAAATTTATTTATCTGGATTCAATATTTCATTTTGTTACCTTGTTGCTGTGTTGAAAGTACCGCCATCAAAAGACCACCAAACCCTAACTCTTACCTACATTTAACGAAGTCTATGTTTTAACAACCCTCCATTAATGGCCATAATTCGGCTTTTTTGTCTTTTGAAAGTTTCGAAATATTTTTTTTTTCCCCCAGCTGTTTTTGTTTAAAATTTAAAACAAGAAATTTAAAACAAAATTGTAACAGGTTTGTTGATTATTCTACATCAGATTTAACTGTATCTTGTGTTGTTCCTTTAATTCCAGAATCCTCGACCTTGTTATATTATTTGTCATTCCTGTGGCAGCCATGATTTATATTTTCGTCCAAATACGCAAACGTCTGTGGGGATCTAGCGTGGGAGCCACGACAAATGTCAGGAGGAAGCGGGCGGTCATCCGATTCTTGGCCATTGACATCATCGTCTTTGTCGTGTGCTGGCTGCCGTTCTACTTGATTGATATAGTCACAGATACCATGAAAATTATTGTAGGTGAGTAGCTGTGATGTAGGAACTCAGATTTTATTGTTCAATTACTAACTTGCTAGAACTTTGTCTGCTGGACAATATACGTATACAAAAAGTGAGAATAAAAGTTAATCTATGTTTGATATATGAAGCATTCAATCATACACATTCACCTCAACATTCAAACAACACATTGATCTATGTCGATGTTAGAAAAACCCACCTTAAACTTTTAACTGTCCTTTCTGCACAATTTTCCACCTTAAAAGCAAACACTTGACAATTAATCTACATTATAAGCACTCAATCCACTAGTGAACTGGAATAGAAACACAATCCACTATTGACCTACATTAGAAACACAATCCACCAACCACCAACTTTGCATTTATCCACAAAACCAACTAAACGTGTATTAACCTAATAATTCCCAGATCAAAGTGAAACTGACGCCCTTGAACAAGGCTCGGTGTATGTGATTGTGAGGTTTATGTGCATAGTTCTGGCAATGTGCAACAGTTTTTTTAACCCTCTCATCTACGCTTTCTTCAACAAGAACTTCATCAATGAGGTAAGCGTTCAGTGCATTGGGTTTAGGGTTAAGGTCAGTACATCGAGTACCTTAAATAAATTTACTCAAGGGAATAATTGGAAGGTCAAATGTCAGACAAGAGGTAGAAAAAAATGTTGGCAGACGTTTACCTGTATGGCTGTATCTCAACAAACGCATGCCTGTATTTTAATGTCTTTGATCTCCTCCAGCTATCTAGGCATAGCGATTAACATGTACGATGTTTACATCAAAAGAGTTGATGTTCTTCTCTGTTTCTTCATGTGTGTTGGACAGTTGTCGCTAATTTTACCCTCCCCTTTCTTGAGAATACATTTTATACATATCACACATCATCCTCTAAAATCTGCTTTCTACTTCAATAAAGGGGGGGGGGTGGGTTGCGAGCAATTTTTATTAAGATACATTTTTGTTCTGTTTTATATTAAGTTAGTTGTTGTCTTCTAATATATAAAATAAATGTAATAATTGAAACTGATATCAAGTTAATGTAATTACAGACAAACATACAGACAGAGACAAAAAGACGGACAGACTGACAGACAGATTTCCATCCAAATGTAATCCGAAAAAGTGAAAGATTTTACTCCTGCCCACAGGTGTGCATCATGTTCTCCAGCTGTCGATGTTTCACCTGTTTACCTAACAAGGTGGCTCCAGAAACCACTGACGAAACGCAAGCAAGTTGTCCTGGTGATGGACCAGTGGTCAGTACAACTTGATGTTTAACCTGTCTCTCAGGAGACGGTAAAGATAATTAAAATCATATCAAGGTCAAGTACGGGCTCTGCTTATCAAATGGACATCACCCAAACACGTCGACAAACGGACATCACCCCAACACGTCGATAAATGGACATCGCCACAACACGTCGATAAATGGACATCCCCACAACACGTCGATAAATGGACATCGCCACAACACGTCGATAAATGGACATCACCCCAACACGTCGACAAATGGATATCACCACAACACGTCGATAAATGGATATCACCCCAACACTTGATAAAAGATCTGTCAACACAGCATATAACGACGTTTGGACAATCATTTCAAATTTTGATTGAGTTAAATGATGGCTCAACACTGCCCTATGCCAACTTGTAGATAGCCATTTCAGTCCTGCACTACCATTATAAATTAACGATTGATGGATGCCGTTGGTGACATAAACCTACTGTATCACCAGATGTATTTGTCACGTGACTAAACATTTTGCTAAGTGAATAGACAACTTTGTTACACTCCTACCCTAAGAGAACAGTCAATGTTCATCAACTCCAAGCTTGGATCACGCTCTGTGTTTACTTTTGTTTGTTTACATTGTTCAAACATGTTTCATTAAATTACCTCTCCCATATTTCATTTATTTATTTTAATTATTTACTAGCCTTCCCGGCCAGGCCCTCCACTGGTCTCTGTGAAAAACCTATAAGTTAAGGACCATAACTTGTGTGTTTATCAAACAGCATATCCCCGGCATTGCCCAGATTTAACAAATATATTACTTTTCGAATTAATCCTATCCACCCTATCCACAACCAACCAAAACTAAAATACACAAAAAAACGCAAACATTAAGCAAACACAAACACAAACAAAAAACAACGCAAACAAAGACACTAACACAAATAAAAAAGCAAACATAAACATAAACCCACACAAATACAAATACAAAGAAAACACAAACACAAAAGCAAACGCAAACACAAACAATTACACAAACACAAATCCATACATAAACACAATGCAAACACAAATAAAAATAGAAACGCAAACGCAAACCTAAACGCAAATAACAACTCAAATTTATGCTAATGTAAACGCGAACATAAACACAAACTTAAATGCAAACATAAATGCATAATGCTCTCAGTCTAGCCTGGGGTGCAAAATCGCATTCTGCTGGGGCTCCGGTTGAACCGCCTGATTAAATTTACTAAACGACTATAATCCCCCAACTTATCCATAGTCTTTTGCACTCACTTAAACGAATGTAGGCGCTCACGGGAAGGCCCGAGGCGCCAAATATCACTCTTTTATGGCAGCAGAGGACGACCAGATTCGATTTACTGAAGGACGTTAGTATGCCTTCTCATCCATAGTCTATTCATAGTCTATCGCACTATTTAACACGAACGGAGACAACATAGCGCTCACGGAAAGGCCCGGGACGCTAAATGACACCCTATCGGGCGCCAATCGACGCCCGTATTAGATTTAGTTAAGGACTAAAGTAATCTTTCTTATCCATAGTCTATCGCACTGTTTAAAACGAACGTATTCATCATAGCGCTCACGGCGCCAGAAGTCGTGCCTGATTCAATTTAGTGAACGACTTTAACATCCCCAGCTTGTCCGCAAAAGGAAAGATAAAAGTAAACATAGAGGACAATTAGGAGCAGCTTCTAAACTGTTATTGATTAAAAATAATAATTAGTTAAAAGTATATAAAATAAATCTAAGACAGTATTTAAAATATCAGTGTTTTACCTACCATTTCGCACTTTATCAATCCTCGCTAGTTATCTAATTATTTATTTTCCAACACCAAAACAAACTAATAAAAAGTATCCCCCCCCTCCCCGATGTAATTTTTTTTTAAGCGAGGCAATATTTTTGTGATCTATCAAGGGAAGTAATTGGCAATAAAGGAACAAAGAGAAGTAATTTGTACACTTTTACATTTTTTTTGTATGATTCATGATAAATTTTCTTTGACTTAGTTTATTCAACATGACTTTAATTAGCATTCTACGTTTGGAAAATGAAATTTGTTTTACATTATAATAATATTTTTAAAAAAATGTTAATTTAGATACTAAACACTTTAGGTGTATTACACTATGGCGATCAAGCCGAGTTTTTTTTAATCATTTCCTATGTTGACAAGGGTCCGTCCGTCCGCCCGCTTTCGCTGTCACAGAGCCACAAAATCCATGTGAGCTATATATCATTAGATTCCAAATAACAAGTTACTAGCGGAATTTGTATGACATATTCTGCTTCACTGATTTGAGTCTTTATACAGCATAAGCAAAGACTGTAAATAGTTTTATTTGAAACTGTAATGAAGCTTCCAGACATAATGGTGTTATTAAGTAAAGCTACTATAACGGATTCGACGACCAATAGGGCAGTAGAGGTTACGTGTTTTCTGTGACCAGCAGGTTGACTCAGGTTTTTCCAACGGACTTGGGACTTGACCTTAACAGTCGTTTGCTTTACTGTTTGGCCAAAATGTTATTCACATTTTAAATGAAAATCCCGGGCTAAATATTAAATAATTGACCAAGCAAGTCATTATATCTCATTGTGACGGCCGATTTAGTTTAATTTTAGTCAATTTTTGGTCGTTAAAAAAGGTTAACTTTTGATGATTATGCATTTATCTTTTATTAAAGAAAGTAATTTTTTTTGTTGCATTTAAAAGCTTGTCGCTATAAAGGTGTTTTATATTTGTTTTATTTTCTACTTTTTAGCGATTCCTAATTTATGAAGTCGACAGGACTAAAAATATTTGCTTTAAACACCATCAAGAGATAGCGATATTTGAAAGATGATTATTTTCTCATTGAAATGCAGCCGTCCCTGACCATATTTTAAAGACAACAGCAAGTTCTTAATTATTACAAGCTTTTATTTAACTCAACTCCTCTGTCTGTCGTCAGTCTGTCTAGATCGAAACGCCCGTGCGAAATTGCAGGCACTTCTAACTGACAGATACGATTCGTAATTGGTACGTGTGTCAAGACATGAAGACAATGCATCGTGACATTGAATTTGACTTAATTGGTCGCCTAATTTTTTTTAATTAATTAAAATTTGGACCGTAGTAGGCAGCTCTATCCACACGTGTCATCGCGGCCGCTTTCGGCGTGGAGCGAGGGGGAGGGGGGGGAGGGCTCCAGAGGCGTAGCGACCCTTCCCGGCGCCCGGGGACATACTTTCAATTTGGCGCCCCCCTCGGGAGCAAATTTTCGATTTGCACCCCCCCCCCCTCTCGAACTTTTCATTTGCACCCCCCCCCCTCAAACTTTCGATTTGCACCCTCCCCCTCGAACTTTCGATTTGCACCCCCCTCGAACTTTTCATTTTCTACCCCCCCCCCCCCCCCCTCAAACTTTCAATTTGGCGCCCCCCCCTAAGGTCGGCGCCCGGGGACATATGTCCCCCCCCCCCGCCCCCCCCCCCCCCCCCCTCGCTACGCCTCTGGAGGGCTCTACGACAAAAGCGCGTCATCACGTTCAATAGGCGTGCAATGGTTTTTAGTCGGGTCAGCAGTCTGGTACTTTACCACCAGACTACGCCATCCCATAATACTTTACTGAAACTTTACCTATAAACTTGACAACAGACTGAACAGTATTAATGACTTCGGTTCAAGAGTTGTTAAAGATTTGTGTTCTATGATATGTGTTCAGCAAATTGTTGCAATTTTTGTATTGTAACTAAAACATCAGTAAATTTGACACGCATAGTAAAAATAATCATATTATTAAAGCAAAACTTGTGTATCATATATTTGTTGCTACACTATATTGTCTTAACATGCGAATAACTCGTTAATACTAAAAAAAAGTATAAAAATAATAAATACATAAAAACGTTTATAATTACAAGCTTTAATAAAGGCACTAAAAAGAAGAAAATAATACAATTTTCATTAAATATAAAATATTTTTTAAAAATGTAATAAATCTGCGGTTTTTTTTAAATATAAAAAAAATTACTTTCTTTAAAGATATTAATACACTACTATTTATATCACTATAAATAAAAGCGTGGGCCGCTATAATAATAAATATTTAAGGGGGAGGCTTGTTGAGTGCCCCAAAATATGGAAGAAGATTATGAATTCATTATTTATTAGGCTTAAAATAATATATTTTATGGATGGTGGAAAACCTACGAAGGGGTTAATTTTTCAAGCTGGCCGCCGTTGTCATAGTTACCAAGATTTGTCCGCGAATTTTTTTAGTGGAAATTAATATGCGGATGTATCTTAATAAAGCTGTAAAGAAATAATTGTTTTCTAACGAGTATTAAAAAAGTGTTTTTTTACCGGAGCCTTCCCCCTTAAACAATTTAAAAATTGTATTATTTTCTTCTTTTTAATCCATTTATAAAAGCGTCTAGCTATTTATCCCCCTTCTGTTATTGGATATAGTTGTTATCTCTCCTTAGTTTCGAAACCGTTTAATTATTTTTTTTAATGTCTAATTAAACATTTAATTAAATTTAAAAAAAAATAGACTTGTACAGTCATCAAAGTTGAATTTATCTCTCGAAAGTTTTAACGAAATCGCTCCATTGGAAGTTTGTGAAAATTTAGTTACAAGATTTGCCACAAACACACAAACAAACAAACAGACGTTGCATACTAAATAAAAGCTTTAAAAAGAATCAGTTTCTTCTACAAATTGCTAACACTTTCCGCAATGTAACACTTCAACGACCCCAAAACAGGGCAATGAAGGTTAATTGTTTGTTATATTCAGTTAAGGGGGTCGTCCAAAAATGACTTCACACTTGTTGGGGGAGGGGGGGGTGTAATTTTGTGACGGTGTGTGATGAGGGGGGGGGGGGGGTTCAGATGGTGTGACGTCACTTTTTTTGCATTATAAAAAAGCAATGTTAGAAAACGAGTTTTAGCCGTTATTTCGCGTTTTAGAAAACGGTTTTAATAAATTTTAATAGGAATTGATTAAAATACTCTATGTTGACAGATTTTTTTACAAGATTTAGGAAAAATATCGATGTTTTAAGAAAAATTCAACAGCAACTTTGAGGTGGGGGGGGGGGGGGTTGTAAGCTGAAGGTGTTGCGTCATTTTAGGGGGGGGGGTCTGGCTTTTTGTGACGACGTGTGACGGAGGGGAGGGGGGGGGGGAAGTAAAAATCGTCAAAAAAAGCGTGACGTCATTTATGGATGACCCCTTATAGCTTTGCGTTGTACACTAAACAAGCATGTCCGTATTTAACACAACTGTAGCTGTAACAATTTAATTCATAGATTTCATATCGTACAAGATTTTTTTTTAAATCTCAACTTAGTGATGAATATATCCATAAACTTAAACATTTTCTCCCCACATAAAAATATAAAAATTGAACATTTAAAATTATAAAATTCGATGTTAGAATATCTGTTGTATATCTCAAGTCTTTGAGGGCCCACCCTAAAGTTATGTATTTACACAGCTACTATCATGCTTACATACACATTTCAAACTAAAATTAATTTAAAAAAAAGAATTTACTATTGCAAAATGTTTTTATTAAACGGGCTATAATATAAAAATATATAAAAATGTAAACAGGCATCAAGAAGGAACGTTAGTCAGTCTACGTCATTCTCTAGGGGTGTCAGTTGTATGTCAAGGTCAATGATTTTTGTTGTCACTGGTCAGTCCGTATCTAGCCCTAGTCTAACACAGTCAAAGTTTGAAAACTCAATGACAGTTGCAAGTTCGTGTAGACCCAGCAAACTATTAGCCAATACATGTAAAACATTTTTTTAAACATGTACTATTTGACTAATCCTAATCCTAATCCTTACATGTAGTCTACTATTTAACGGCGTTGTCCTTTAACTCCGGCAGTTCGTGGCTGGGGTCAACATAGCTGGACCTAACACAGGAGAACTGGTATCCTCCACCAGTGAAGCGGACGTTCTTGGTTGCCAGGTTGGCTCGTATAGTCGGCACAATTTTGGTTTGTCTGTGGCCAGAAAAATATTTGTTTTTAATTTTATTTTCTTGTTCACAGCTGAAAATATTTTTGTATATAGTAAAATGATACTTAATATTTGAGTAAATACATCTACATCGAGCTAGATATATAGTTTTTGTCTTTGACAAAAGGTACTGATTATGTCTAGTAATAGAATGGGTAAAGTTAGAGACCAGTTCAAGTTATAGAATGGGTAAGGTTATATACTAGGTCTATTTATAGACTAGGTCGTTATAGACCAGGTCAGGATTTCTTCCAGAATTTTTTCACCGTGAGGGGGAGGGGGGACACCTGATATTTTCGGGGGGACGGACTAAATTTTCCGGGGGGGGGGGGGGGGGGGCGTACACTGATGAAATTATGTTTTCTATATAAAATATACATTTAATTTCGAACGGGGGAGGGGGGTGGTGGGCGGTGTTTCCCCCCCCCCCCCCCCCCCCACCCCCTTCCCCGACGACATGCCCTGGAAGAAACACTGGACCAGGTTTAGTCATAGACTAAACTCTATCAACGATTGGACTCACGTAGATTTCCGTTTAAAATGAGCCACAACTTCTTTAGACGTCCTCAGCTCCTCTAAAAGTTTTTCTTGTGTTTCTTTCTTTTCATTTAGGTCGAATTTGGCCACATTTAATTCGGCGATTAGGGCCTGCATGATTAAAAACTATATAAAATGTTTATCATATACAAGTAAATAATTTTAAAAAGTTACGACTGCATCAGTACAGAGTTAAATTGTTCGATGTAAGAGGTTGATCTTTTGGCTTATAGTAACAAAACCGTCTGTCATATTATAAATGTGTCGGAGAAGAAAATATAACCAGCGGGCTGGAGATAAACGATGGGAGGCTAGGAACAAACCCTAACCCTAACCCTAGGAATAAACCCTAACCTTAACCCTAGGAACAAACCCTAACCCTAGGAACAAACCCTAACCCTAACCCTAGGAACAAACCCTAACCCTAGGAATAAACCCTAACCCTAACCCTAGGAACAAACCCTAACCCTAACCCTAGGAACAAACCCTAACCCTAACCCTAGGAACAAACCCTAACCTTAACCCTAGGAACAAACCCTAACCCTAACCCTAGGAACAAACCCTAACCCTAGGAACAAACCCTAACCCTAACCCTAGGAACAAACCCTAACCCTAACCCTAGGAACAAACCCTAACCCTAACCCTAGGAACAAACCCTAACCCTAACCCTAGGAACAAACCGACGCTGGATTCGTCCATGTATGTGTAATAAAAAGATTCGTAAGCACCGCCTTCCAACGACTCTAAACAATATGCATGCAGTCCATTATCGTAATTAGACCCACTCCCCCACCCCCACCAATTAATCTATAGACGCCCTTCCTTCTTCCCCCCCCCCCATCCATTCCCCACGATGGTTTCCCAAAATTAAAGTTATCTCAAATTAAAATACAGCTCTAGTCTCTATATACTTAAAAATTTAAATGCACGCCCCTCCAAATAGCTCAGGTGGCTATGGTGTGAACAGTCCCTGTGAGAAATTACCGTCTAATTAATTAAAATGATTAAAACTATATCTTTGTTTTAACAAGATTTGGATTACCTTAATTTCTTTATTTTTCTTTCGTATATTTGTCTTGGCTTCATATAGTTCCTTGCCACATTCAATGCCAGGTCGTCTTGACAGGAGTATTTTAAACTAAAATGTATGTAGATATATTTAAATATTTGCTGCATAATCTGTTAAATAGCTCTATAATTACTTCATGAGCAGCAAAATATACAACACTATTTCAATAATTTTTTCTGCTACCCGCTTCTTTAGACCAGCCAGTTGTGTAATGTCTACTACCTCCTTCTTTAGACCAACCAGTCGTGTAATGTCTACTACCTCCTTCTTTAGACCAACCAGTTGTGTAATGTCTACTACCTCCTTCTTTAGACCAACCAGTTGTGTAATGTCTACTACCTCCTTCTTTAGACCAACCAGTTGTGTAATGTCTACTACCTCCTTCTTTAGACCAACCAGTTGTGTAATGTCTACTACCTCCTTCTTTAGACCAGCCAGTTGTGTAATGTCTACTACCTCCTTCTTTAGACCAGCCAGTTGTGTAATGTCTACTACCTCCTTCTTTAGACCAACCAGTTGTGTAATGTCTACTACCTCCTTCTTTAGACCAACCAGTTGTGTAATGTCTACTACCTCCTTCTTTAGACCAACCAGTTGTGTAATGTCTACTACCTCCTTCTTTAGACCAACCAGTCGTGTAATGTCTACTACCTCCTTCTTTAGACCAGCAAGTTGTGTAATGTCTACTATCTCCTTCTTTAGACTAGCCTGTTGTGTAAGGTATGTGACTCTCTATATTTGACCGACTTACTTGCATGATCTCTTGGTCTCTACTCATAATTACTTTATCCTTCTCCTCAACCTCTGTATATTTGGTGAGTAAAATTTTCTGGAGTTTTTGAATTTTCAAAATCATTTCGTATTCGCTTACATTCGCGTGCTAAAAAAAAGGAAAAGTTTTATTAGCAATATTATAATCACGTGAATATCTTAATTTAACGTGTACAGATAATAAATGAAACATAGGCTAAGTAAAAATCGGTCCCAAAGAAATGGTCAAAAGTTCCCTCGACCATTAATGTAAGCAAACACAAGTACGACAGAGAGATATCAAGTTAAATAAAAGATTAAACAAAATCAACACTAATAAACTAGAGTTTAACCCTAACCCTAACACTAATAAACTAGAGTTTAACCCTAACCCTAACACTAATAAACTAGAGTTTAACCCTAACCCTAACACTAATAAACTAGAGTTTAACCCTAACCCTAACACTAATAAACTAGATTACTTCCACTTTTTAGTAATGCTATTGTATGTACACATTGAGAAATATGCGATTTGACTACCAACCATGATGTAACGGTTTAAGTGGGGGACTGTTAACTTCATCTGCTCTATGGCAACTCGTTTGTCCTGCTCAAGTTGTAGCAGACGGGTGGTTTCCACTAGTTCAGACCTGAGTCAAGGGAGAAAATAAATCACGTCGAACTTCAACACCGGCAAAAAGATCACGTCAAATACTAGCATAAGGATCACGTCAAACTCGAACACTAACAAAAATATCACGTCAAATTTCAATACAAACACCAGAACAAGGATCACGTTAAATTACACTACCATTACCAGGAGGAAAATTAATCTATATATATAATTCTGTTCTTGGATACCCTAGAAAACACCAAGCTGTAAGCGTGCCTAGCAGTTCCCTCTCTTCCTCTCTAGGCATATCCCTACCACCCTCACCCCACATGGTCTGGTGAGCTGTGGTTCACGCTAAATCTTTACAATCGTAGAGCCGGGTTTAGTGATGGCTATTAGATAATTTAGTTTGAAACGATTTTAAACTTAGGGGAGGTAACTAAGAGGAGGCTGCGTTCACGGGGGTGGGGGTGTAGGGTAGGGGTTGGGGGCAAGGAGGGTGGGGGTAGTATCGTCCTTAACAACCTACTGATAGTGTTTTAAAGCAAATATTTTCAGTGGCAGCACTGGTACTGTCGAATTCACAAATTATGAATTACTGAAAAGTAGAAAATAAAACAACTAAATAGCGGCATATGATACGCCGCGGGTCGGCTCGTGTTCTATATTTTACCTAGTTACATAATGAACTCTCGCAAACAAAACCTGAATGTGTTCTTTAATATTTGCTATGGGTTGTTGATATAAAAGAAATGACAAAACTAGTCCTAGTTATTAATTGGAACAAAAGTAACGGTCTCACCTTAACTCTTTATTTAAAGATTCTGTGTACATGTAAGACTTTAACTTTCGCCTGAGGTTTTTTATTTCAATTTTTAACAGCCGCATGTCTTGGTACTGACCATAGATTTCCAGAAAACCTGAAAGTTCACAATTTAAATATTTTCAGACATTCAGACTGTGTCATTAATATAAACATGTAATACGTTTGTAGATACAATGTAGGCCATAGCCTTTGATAAAATATACCCGTAAATGTATTCTGTTCAAATACTCATTGTCTTTTCGAAATTATATTTGGAAAGTGTACGTTTAAAGTTTCTCTGTAAAAGCTAATGCAACCAAAATACATTTTTATCAGTCACCTGTTTTTAGCATTCCTTTCATAATGTTCATTTTCTTGACCATCAGGTCCGCTTCAGTTTTCCATTTTATTACCAAAGCCCCAAGAAAATCTCTTTCTGTTCTGATCTACGAGTTAGAAAATTATTGAATTACTCTAATAATGAAGTTGCTTCGGGAAACAAATAAGTCATCTTTGTATTGGAATTGTTAACACAAAATCTAGCCAATAGCTGAAAAAATGAAGTTAATAATGCCCCAAACAACATGACCCTTTTTATTAACCCAAACTTGACAAATCTAATCCGTACAAACCTTATCGTACTTCTAATCCGTACAAATCTTATCGTACTTCTAATCCGTACAAATCTTATCGTACTTCTAATCCGTACAAACCTTATCGTACTTCTAATCCGTACAAACCTTATCGTACTTCTAATCCGTACAAACCTTATCGTACTTCTAATCCGTACAAACCTTATCGTACTTCTAATCCGTACAAACCTTATCGTACTTCTAATCCGTACAAACCTTATCGTACTTCTAATCCGTACAAACCTTATCGTACTTCTAATCCGTACAAACCTTATCGTACTTCTAATCCGTACAAACCTTATCGTACTTCTAATCCGTACAAACCTTATCGTACTTCTAATCCGTACAAACCTTATCGTACTTCTAATCCGTACAAACCTTATCGTACTTCTAATCCGTACAAACCTTACCGTACTTCTAATCCGTACAAACCTTATCGTACTTCTAATCCGTACAAACCTTATCGTACTTCTAATCCGTACAAACCTTATCGTACTTCTAATCCGTACAAACCTTATCGTACTTCTAATCCGTACAAACCTTATCGTACTTCTAATCCGTACAAACCTTATCGTACTTCTAATCCGTACAAACCTTATCGTACTTCTAAACCGTACAAACCTTATCGTACTTCTAATCCGTACAAACCTTATCGTACTTCTAATCCGTACAAACCTTATCGTACTTCTAATCCGTACAAACCTTACCGTACTTCTAATCCGTACAAACCTTATCGTAGTTTCTCCGGAGGACCAAATGTTCCTCGTCCACCTCACGGAGCACGTGAATCAAGTGGGCCGTCTCGTGCTTCTCATTCTCCAAAGATTTGATGAAATTTTTCACCAAGAGTTTCTGGGCATAAACTTCCTCAGAGAGCCTCATAATCTCATGCAGACGTTTGGCGTCCCTTTGTTTCAGTAGCTGTAAGACGTGGTTACATCAGGCCAGGTCGAATGGGAACATCACGTGATAGCAATAACACTTTACAGTACAGGATTAACTTTTAAAAGTAAAAAAAAAATATTTAAATATACTTGTACCATAATAAATTTAAAGTGCATCGTATTGTTTAAAAAAAAATACATACAATTAAATTAGTCTCTGTTTTCTCGGATATTTTATAGATGGATTCTTTCTCAGCTTCCGTAAATTTCAGCATATATTTTAACATATTAAACAGCTCCTGTCAAAGGAAAAATAAAATTTTGTAGACGAACACATAAAAATAATAGAAGAATTTTGCTGGTCGTACAAGCATTGCGGTAGGCAGGGGTCTCCAAACTACGGCCCGCGGGCCGGATGCGGCCCGCGAAGTCCTCTCATCCGGCCCGCGGAGATCTTTTTCTCCAAGGAAAAATCGTTTGTCGGTGATTGCTAAGGAAATTTGCCCAGAAAAATCAAAGAAATGCCTTGAAGAAACTGGCCCCCGAACTGAAATTTGATATTTAATGCGGCCCTCGGACTGAAAAGTTTGGAGACCCCTGCCGGGTATAGGGTAGTAAGTTAACGGTAATGAGTGTTAATATTCGCGCAAAATATATTGGGCATATGAAAGAAAATACTGGGGACAAATCAAATGACTGAGGACAAATCAAATGACTGGGGACAAATCAAATTACTGGGGACAAATCAAATGACTGGGGACAAATCAAATGACTGGGGACAAATCAAATGACTTCAACAGTTATTTGTATTTATTCTCATGTTTTTTTAGCCTCCACTACTACAGTGCCCAACACAATGTGAAACATCACTTTAGTAGAATTTTTAAATCTCAACTCACCGATTGTGTGTGGGCCTCAACTCACAGATTGTGTGGGTCTCAATTCAACGATTGTGTGGGTCTCAACTCACCGATTGTGTGTGGGCCTCAGTAACGGCCTCAGCATTTTTCTGCCTCAGTTGCAACATTCCGTCTTTTGTATTTTTTAAAAGCAGCTCCAGTTTTTTGGCATTGACCACCAGAGAATCATTTTTAGAATCCTGGACACGAATCGTGTCCTCGTGTTGTCGACACTGAAATGGACATCCCATCAGTATGGAAATATTTTCGTTATGGTAAGTGCTTTTATATTTTAAAATGTTGTGTTAAGTTATCCTTTTCTTCTAACTCATATTTTATCTTTTTGTTTAATTATAAGTTTAAAAATTGACTTTTATGTTTTTAAATGTGTCAGCTAGTGATAATGATGTTCCCTTGTCATTTACAACCGTCCTTACCACAACTTCTAAGTGCCGTATCATGTTACTCTTGTCCAAACTTTCGCCACAACAGTCCTCCCACCGCCTGACCACCACCTTCAGGTCTGAGACGATCTTGTTCAGGTTTTTGGCCAGGGCCTCCATGTTTGTCCTGGCCGTGTTGAGTAAATTCTTTTGTTGGTTGGCCACATCAGAAAAACTGTTGATTTTCTGTGGACCGTGTAACATGTCAGTGCGGAGTTCGTTTCATCTCGGCGGTTGTTTGGGGTCAAATAGGAGAGCGTGTTAATGTTATGTCGTTTTAGCTTAAGAAAATTCTTATTTCTACATACAGCAAGTCCAACAAGGGTAAACTTGTTATTGTATGTACAGATCAAATGTAAGTAAAATATTAGTGTTGACAAAACCTTGTACAACAACCATACCATAACCCTCACCCTCACACTCACCCTTACCCTTACCCTTACCCTTACCCTTACCCTTACCCTTACCCTTACCCTTACCCTTACCCTTACCCTTACCCTAACCCTTACCCTTACCCTTACCCTTACCCTTACCCTTACCCTTACCCTTACCCTTACCCCAACTTTATCCTAACCCAAACGAAAAACATCCTACCGCCTCATCAACAAAAATTCTGGTATTCAAACATTTAATTTCTCTCTGACAGGATTCTTGTTTCTTTTCCATTCTGTTTTCAACTGTCAAAGTGATTCAACAACTTAGTGGTCAAGTATGAACATTGTAATATGACTTTAAAAATACCAGTTAATTATTTAATTTGTATCAATCATAAGGTAAACAAATAGAAAACGAAATTGGTGTGTACATCGCGATAGACAAATCACTCAACAAAAGCGAGCCAATACATGAATAATGTGAAATAAAATTTGACGTTTATAAACAACACAATGATATATACGTACTCACACACACACAGATACACACACACGCACACACAGAGACACCCGACCTAGTGACGCCATTGACCACACTAACTGATACTCTATTAAATGCCCCTATACTAACGATACTGGTACTTTATTAAATGTCCCAATACTAACGATACTGGTACTTTATTAAATGTCCCAATACTAACGATACTGGTACTTTATTAAATGTCCCAATACTAACGATACTGGTACTTTATTAAATGCCCCAATACTAACGATACTGGTACTTTATTAAATGTCCCAATACTAACGATACTGGTACTTTATTAAATGCCCCAATACTAACGATACTGGTACTTTATTAAATGTCCCAATACTAACGATACTGGTACTTTATTAAATGCCCCAATACTAACGATACTGGTACTTTATTAAATGCTCCAATACTAACGATACAGGTACTTTATTAAATGCCCCAATACTAACGATACTGGTACTTTATTAAATGCCCCAATACTAACGATACTGGTACTTTATTAAATGCCACAATGCTAACGATACTGGTACTTTATTAAATGCCCCAATACTAACGATACTCATTGATTGACCCAATTTTTTACAGCTAGAATTAAATTTATCCTCTCAATAATAGAAAATTAGAAAACATTTCGATACAGAAAAAAATTACCTAAATTACTGCAGTGAATAGTGTGTTGTAGTTTCCGAATTTCTTCCTGAAGATTTTTTATTTCATCATCTCGTTTGAAGATTCTTTTATTTAAAGATCTGTACGAACAAAGCAAAGAATATGTTTACATTTAAAAATAATTCTCACTTCTTATAACGATGGGAAAAAACAATGCATATCGACTTTGAAACCCTAGCCGTTAAGTAAAAATGTATAGACACTAAACTGTAATATCATAACCCTTACAGTTCAGGTAACAACGTGTATCAACTTTAAAACCCTAACCCTTACCTTAACTGCGGAGTAGAAAAATATCTACATCAACTTACTCGAGTTGTCCTTTACACATAACTGCCTCCAACTTTTCTTTATTAATATTTTCAGTGAGAACCTAATAAAAAAAACAATTCATTTACGCATGTTTATATTTCTAGACATATTGATGAGGGATGGCGTGGACCGCAGGTAGAGCGAACGACTGTCATCCTAAAGCTTGCGAGAGCAAATCTCGTATGACGTGTCTGAGTTTAGATTAGGGAAAGTAGGGGCGGCTGGACATAGTGGAGAACACATAAAGCTAAGCTCTATAACCACACCCAGATGTACACATCCAATCAATACACCCACCTGTACACATCCAATCAACACCCAGATGTACACATCCAATCAACACACCAGCTGTACACATCCAATCAACACACCAGATGTACACATCCAATCAACACACCAGATGTACACATCCAATCAACACCCAGATTTACACATCCAATCAACACACCCACCTGTACACATCCAATCAACACACCCACCTGTACACATCCAATCAACACACCCACCTCTACACATCCAATCAACACACCAGATGTACACATCCAATCAACACACCAGATGTACACATCCAATCAACACACCAGATGTACACATCCGATCAACAAACCAGATGTACACATCCAATCAACACACCCACCTGTACACATCCAATCAACACACCAGATGTACACATCCAATCAACACACCAGATGTACACATCCAATCAACACACCCACCTGTACACATCCAATCAACACACCAGATGTACACATCCAATCAACACACCCACCTGTACACATCCAATCAACACACCAGATGTACACATCCAATCAACACACCAGATGTACACATCCAATCAACACACCCACCTGTACACATCCAATCAACACACCCACCTCTACACATCCAATCAACACACCAGATGTACACATCCAATCAACACACCAGATGTACACATCCAATCAACACACCCACCTGTACACATCCAATCAACACCCACCTGTACACATACAATCAACACCACCTGTACACATCCAATCAACACACCCACCTGTACACATCCAATCAACACACCAGATGTACACATCCAATCAAAACACCAGATGTACACATCCAATCAACACACCAGATGTACACATCCAATCAACACACCAGATGTACACATCCGATCAACACACCCAGATTTACAGATCCGATCAACACACCAGATGTACACATCCAATCAACACACCCACCTGTACACATCCAATCAACACACCCACCTCTACACATCCAATCAACACACCAGATGTACACATCCAATCAACACACCCACCTGTACACATCCAATCAACACACCAGATGTACACATCCAATCAACACACCAGATGTACACATACAATCAACACCAGATGTACACATCCAATCAACACACCCAGATTTACAGATCCAATCAACACACCAGATGTACATATCCAATCAACACACCCACCTGTACACATCCAATCAACACACCCACCTCTACACATCCAATCAACACACCAGATGTACACATCCAATCAACACACCCACTTGTACACATCCAATCAACACACCAGATGTACACAACCAATCAACACACCAGATGTACACATACAATCAACACCAGATGTACACATCCAATCAACACACCAGATGTACACATCCAATCAACACACCAGATGTACACATACAATCAACACACCAGATGTACACATACAATAAACACACCAGATGTACACATCCAATCAACACACCCACCTGTACACATCCAATCAACACACCCACCTCTACACATCCAATCAACACACCAGATGTACACATCCAATCAACACACCCACTTGTACACATCCAATCAACACACCAGATGTACACAACCAATCAACACACCAGATGTACACATACAATCAACACCAGATGTACACATCCAATCAACACACCAGATGTACACATCCAATCAACACACCAGATGTACACATACAATCAACACACCAGATGTACACATACAATCAACACACCAGATGTACACATCCAATCAACACACCCACTTGTACACATACAATCAACACACCAGATGTACACAACCAATCAACACACCCAGATTTACAGATCCAATCAACACACCAGATGTACACATCCAATCAACACACCTACCTGTACACATCCAATCAACACACCCACCTCTACACATCCAATCAACACACCAGATGTACACATCCAATCAACACACCCACTTGTACACATCCAATCAACACACCAGATGTACACAACCAATCAACACACCAGATGTACACATCCAATCAACACACCAGATGTACACATCCAATCAACACACCAGATGTACACATACAATCAACACTAGATGTACACATCCAATCAACACACCCAGATTTACAGATCCAATCAACACTAGATGTACACATCAAGTCGACGTAAAATGTATTGACCGTATGTAAATAGTTTGTATTTCTGTTTGCACGTTGACATTTATATTTAAAGAATTTGTTTTACTTGACATAAGTTGACGGTGTAGAAGAAGTTTCTAACCATCACAAAAAAAAACCGGCAAACGCATGTTTAAATTGCAAGTAAAATAATCTTGCAAACACAACGGAATGACACATTACAATCAAAATGTGTTGTTGTAGTAGAAATCTTTTCACTAGTAACAAACCAAAAAAAAATTTACTTTTGTTTTGTGTATTAAACCTTAACGCTAACCTTTTTTTGTCGATCAGCGCGGGAAAGACTCAACTTGAGATCGGCGATTACAGCTCCAGCTTTTTCTATCTCCTTCTCTCTCAGACGATATCTGTTTAACTGGTTGTTTAATTTGTCCTCCAGCCGGTTACATTTGCTCTAGATCAAACACGTTGTGGTCATGTTATCAACACATTTCACTTGCCATACACAACAAAGAACAAAAAAGGTCCTCAGAGTAAATAAAAACTACCTTGAATGTCATTAAGGTCTTCTTGATGACCTGCAGATTGTACTTGCTGGCGTTGACCTGGCACCCTAACGACTCGATCGTCTTGGTCTTGATCTTTAACTCTGCTTTAGTGTCGGCCCTTTCCATGTACAGCTTGTCCAGTTGTTTGGTCAGTGCTTCAACTCGGTGTCTGTGACGGTCAGGGGCGGCAACCAACTGAAAGGTCGATAATCTATCAACAACTTTTTTCTTCAGTTAAAGACAGTACATAATTTATTGGTTCTGGGGTTATTTTTAAAACAATTTTACTGAACTAAAAGACTACATGGCTGCAATAATATTTACTATAATACCTACTTTATGTTAACTCAATTATGGATATTAGATTTGTTAAATATTCTTAATATGGAGTTCATTATGTACGAATTAATTAGAAAGCCAAATTTTTTTGAGTATTTAATGTTAACCAATTGCTGTTGTACAAAGAATAATTTGACTGTTTAAAAATTACAAATAACGCCTTCTACAAATCACGAGCTACGAAATGAAATATACTTTTCCTACCCAACCTGACGAATTAATCCAAAACCTAATCATCCATATCCAATTAACTTATTGTATTAAGTCGTCCTAACTGATCCTCTCCACTACCTTTTGCATCAATTCCTCCCAGTTTACCTTAACCCTAACCCTACACCTAACCCACTTTACCTTAACCCACTTTACCTTAACCCACTTTACCTTAACCCTAACCCTAACCCGACCTTTTGCATCAATTCCTCCTGAGCTTTGTCCGCAGCCTGACCGTCCCTGATTGCCTTCTGCTGTGTGTTGATGAGTTGCTCCGTTATTTCTGCTATAGCCCGATCTTTGGCCAGATTCGATTCTTCCAGTTCTTCCAACACTTGCCTGACATTACCGAATTGTTTGCGGATTTTAATAGTATATTATACATTCTCTACATTAACAATAGACTGACCAAATTCTATACTTTTATCTCCGTTTCAATTTTTGTGGGATATATTGAATTGCAATATTTTCTTGCGTTGTTTTTGTTAAATGATTGACTGTTTATGAAGACTATATGAAGGAAATGTGAGGTTACCCATCTATATGACATTTGTATTGCGTCATGATGTGACTTTATATTTGTATCATTACTTTTAAACTTGAAATTGCTTTAATTTACCGACTTAAGATAACAGAGACCTAAGTAACTTACAGCAGAATGTGGGGACAAAAAAAAACACCTGATAGATCACATAAGACAGTAACCACTAAATTCTGTTACAATTGAGGGAGACGAACAAAGTTTACACATACTCCAACTTTTTTCTTTGCTTGATCTCCTCCATCATTTTTTTATTTGCCCGTTTTAAACTGGTTATTGTAGTATCCATGGTCTTTAGGTCTGTTTTAATACTATTTAACTCGGCCAAATATTCATTGCCCACCTAGGAAACATAAACATCATTTATCTAAGTATCTTCCATACAAAGTCAAATATTTCAGGTTAAACCTAACGCTAAACCAGCTCACGCTACTAACCCAATGCCCAATGATGATCAACCTAACCGTAACCCAATCTACAGTAATGGTCAACACTATAAAAGTATTTTCTTGATGGGTCGTCCATAAATGATGTCCAACTCCTGGGGTTTAGGCGGGGAATGGGGGGGGGGGGGGGAGTCAGAAAGTGTGACGTGACACCGTTGCTTTTTTTTTAAAAAATAATTTTAATCTGATTCTTAACCGTTTTTTTTTTCGCGTTTTTGAAACCTTTTTTTTTTTAAATTGTATTAGAAATTGTTTACTATACTTGTTGTAGGCCGAGCTAAATCAATATTTTAGAAATAAATTGATATTTTAAAAAGAATAAAACTGCAATATTGAGGGGGATTGTGGGCTGAGGTGTTGGCATGTGTGGCGGTGTGGAGGGGATGACGTAAAAATCGGTCAAAAAAGCGTGACGTTATGTACGGATGACCTCTTACCTCCTCGGCATCATTTCGCTCCTTGCGCCACCTGTCGGCTAAATACAGCACCTTGACCACTCTGGGATCACGCCGTAGCTTCGTGGCCAATTCTTGAACTTCCGCTTCCCGTTTGGTCAACCTTTTCTATAACAAACATTGATAGACGACATCAGATGGGATAATATTGATCTTAATGTTAACATGCTGAGAATAAAACAAGATGTAGAGAAACTTTAGTGGCGTACAAGTCTTAGAATTCTATTAAGGACGAATCGACCAATTAGCGTAAAAGCCACAACAGTACGTTTTCCAGGAGCATATCCAGGGTCTGGGGTAGTCACTCTTCATGTTTTCAAATTATACAGTCGCTAAACTAACTCACATTCTTCAAATACATAACATGTACAATATCTGCTCAAGTTTTTTGTTGCGTGGTTCAATATCGTTTGGGTAAGATGTGTCTACCATGGCTTAACAGCTTGTGTAATTTGTAGGAAAAGTTGTTGTTGGGTTGATTATATTTCAAATCATTCCAACTCCTAATAAGTTGTTTGCATCTCTTGACTTAAGAAAGTCTTGTATATGCCAAAATGAGGCTGTCAGTTTTTTGCACCGTTTTCTACCTATCTTTCCCGTTGTATTGGTCGTTTGTACTCTATATATATAATTCTCTTCATGGGGACCATGCGAGACACCCCGAACACCTGATGTAAGGTAATATAAACATAGGTAGTGTAGAGTAAGAATATATAAACATAGGTAGTGTAGAGTAAGAATATATAAACATAGGTAGTGTCCAGTAAGATTTTCAAAGGGCGAGGAGAGCTCAATAAAGGCTAGAACATTAGGATTAGAACATGTTAATTACCAGGCGCAATGGACACATTAAAAAATTAAAAACTTTAACCCAAACAATAGCCTATTTCACTATTCTATAATCCCTATCATTCATGTGTAAACACCGTTTAACCTCAGGCTATACGTAAGTCGACTGAGATATTTTTAACCCTAAGCCTTAAACCCTTACCTTAATTTCGTTTTCATTTATTCTGGCTTGGCTCAATATTTCACACAATTTTCTGAATTCACTTTTCACTATAGGCAACGTGAAACAGCCTTCGATGCGGGCCAGAATCTAGAAAATAAAACATGTTATTGGTATAAACTTTTGCTTATATTAATTCAATACAAAATTTATGACTTGGTTTTAAAAATCGTTCAACAAATTTATATCGTTACAATTAAGTATAATTGTTAAATATTATTTATTAATTTATTTCTGTAAAAACATTTAGAAAGATATTATGAAAACACAAAGCGAATCTTAAAAGAACAAATGTAAATAAATTCCTTCCGTCACCTTTTTGTGCATTTCTTCAATATCAGGGAACGGTGTGATCAAGAGTTCGTCCATCTCCATCTCGACTAGACCTTCCTCGTAGATGTCCTTCAGCTCAGCAGACAACGAGTAGAGGATCCTCTGGTCTTGGGACGACTTGGCCGGCTATTGAAACCAGCAAGGAAAAACTTTTTCAATGTTGTAATACAAAAAATTAAATTTTGTTTTTATGTTTTCCTTGATATTTCGGTCTGTAAAAAGTATATTTTACCTACACACGTATTTGTCAATCATAAAAATCTTCAGGAGCATGTGTTAAATAATGTAATTACTAAAAGTGACTAAAAACTGAAAAGTTAAATTTAAATTGTTTCAACCATAATTGTTAAACGTTTTTTTTTTATTTACAATCAGCCGGGTGCTATATAAACGTGTATCTTAAATTTACAGTCAACCGAGGTTTTTATAACCCTAACAAAAACCAGTGGTTTTATAACCTTAACCAAACAAGGATTTATATAACCCTAACCAAAACAGTGGTTCTATTCCCGAATCCATACCTCAGCAACAATCTCAGTATTTGAGCGTGTGGGGGTTTCTTTAATTTCCTTAGGTTCATTAGGTTCATCTTCTACAACATCATCTTCTTGGTCCTCGTCTTCATCGCTCTCGTCCGCACCATTAACCACATCTAATCAAACATCAACTTTATCAAAACTTAACCCTAACCTTATCCCAACATCCACTCTATCAATACCTAACCCTAACCTTAACCCAACATCCACTCTACCTAACCCTAACCTTAACCCAACAATACATATATCTAAGCTAACCATCTAATCAAACATCAACTCTTTCAATACTTAACCCTAACTCTGACAATCAACATCAGTAATGACATAAAATCATGTGTATATAGAAATGACAAAATTGGTTATGTTATATCATGTGCTCGAATATTTTTAATTACTTCAAAGTATTTTTGTGCTGAATTACTTTTATAAATTCGAAAAAATTATAAGACCAACTATATAACGATCAACTAATATATTAGATGAACTTACTGGACTTGGATTGTTCAACCGTAGTATCACTCTGAAAAAAAAAATTAGGGCCTCCAATTTATTTTGAAGGAATAAGTTGGTCGTCAGAAATATTTAAATGGAATTTCTAAATATAATTGGTAATTTTGTATTGTTACAATAATTATAGTAAGCCTTAGACTATTATGATTCTAAGGTTGTAAAAAAATTATATAACATTATACCTAAGGCTACGTTTTTAAAAAAATGCTTGACCTTAAATGACTTTGCAAGTTCTGTGGCTAAGGGGAGGGGGATACATAAGCTGTCTCTCTTTTTTTTATTATTTTTTTGTGTTTTTATTTAGTCTGCAGTTCTATCCTTTTGATAACCATTTTTAAAAAGATATTTTTTAACCGCAATGCATGAAAACCCGGCATTCCATAGAATACCTAGGCAATGTATGCAATACTTGTTCTATGTTTTAGGTAAAGTATGGCATAAAATAAAGCATTACATAAAATGCCTAGCCTTTATATAGAATGCCAAGAACTGCTCAGGGTTTGGGTTAAATAACAAACAGGCAAAAATAAAAATAAACAACAGAAAATGAACAACAGAAAATCTTTATTGAAAGAACAAATGAATCAGAATTATCACTTACTATTTGTTGCGACACGGAAGACTAGAATGGAATTTTTAATTGCACTTAATTATCTTTCTAACCCTTACCCTTTCCCTAACCCTAACCTCCACCCCACTGCAGGGGGGTACACATAACCCTAACCTCCACCCCACTACAGGGGGGACACATAACCCTAACGCCCTAGCCTCCACCCTATTTCAGACTGAGACCTGCAAATCTGACCAGCTACTTTCAGGCCAATGAGGCTCATAAAAAAATAAACAAGAGCAGCAATATACGACAGTAGCTAACAGAAGAACGTTATGTAATATTTTAACCTTTAACTACGGCAGTAGCTTACAGAAGAACGTTATGTAATATTTTAATCCTTTAACTACGGCAGTAGCTTACAGAAGAACGTTATGTAATATTTTAACCTTTAACTACGGCAGTAGCTTACAGAAGAACGTTATGTAATATTTTAATCCTTTAACTACGGCAGTAGCTTACAGAAGAACGTTATGTAATATTTTAACCTTTAACTACGGCAGTAGCTTACAGAAGAACGCTATGTAATATTTTAACCTTTAACTACGGCAGTAGCTTACAGAAGAACGTTATGTAATATTTTAACCTTTAACTATGGCAGTAGCTTACAGAAGAACGTTATGTAATATTTTAACCTTTAACTACGGCAGTAGCTTACAGAAGAACGTTATGTAATATTTTAACCTTTAACTACGGCAGTAGCTTACAGACGAACGTTATGTAATATTTTAACCTTTAACTACGGCGGTAAGTGCTTGGCTTGTGTTATGTAAAAGTAGAAATGTGCTTCTATAGGGTTAATTTATACCAACCATGGCTCAAGGTGGAAGCGACGACAGATTTGTATTTTTACATTTTTTTTTTTTAAACATGAACTTGTCGAGAACCCTTTAGCGAGGGTTTTTGTGCAGCCATTTTGATTACGGTTTAGATGTTGCTCGTAATTAACTTACATCATTCAATTCTTAAAACATCCTCTCCACGTGTTATAATTACAAACGATACATTGTGTAATAAAACACATTTTTAAAACGATTTTTAATAATTGTTAGTTCGGATGATAACATTCTTTTATATGTAAGAAATATTTGCCAATATTTGCGAATGGGAGGTGGCTATTTTTGTTTCAGTCCCGCAAATGAATCGAGGTTGACTATTAATTTTTCAAAAACCTTAGTACCAAAACCTTAGTGCCTTGTCCGATTTGCAGTACTTAGCTATGTTGGACTGAATAGCAACATCCCAATATTGAATAGTAGTACTAGTTAAGGAAAAAGATGGGTCGACAAGGTTCTGTGTAGACTATAAGAGACTTACGGTAGTCACCGTCTACGACGCGGAACCCATCCCAGATACACATGAGCTGTTCGCTACATTAAATAGGGCAAAATATTTTACTAAACTCGACCTTACAAAAGTGTATTGGCAGATCCCCATACTGGCCACCAGTTGTTACGTCATGATTTGGTTTCAGATAAATGACAACTCTTCGTTACTACTTTAATTACTTTTATTCCGTCTCAAATACATTCAAGCGTAGCCCTCGTCCTAATCGCTAGCAACTAACCCCCGACAATCATTCACTCCTGCTTTTATAACGCATTCGACCTTGGGATAACAATACATAAACACACCGGGGTTAACAATATTCTAGGGTGAACTCAACTCACACACGCACTCTCCCCAAAGTTTGAGACTATTCTACCGTATTCTAACCTGACCTCAACTGACCCTTAATCTAAAATTTTCCCCATTAAAGATTTCACTTTTTGTTATTAGCATAAAGTACATACAAGCATTAGACGACTAGTTACCTCTACTGCAGCTACATTGCTGGATGTGGCCTGAATCTGAGTTTTGCTCCCTTTAAGACTTCCCCTGCCGACCTTCTTACTGCCACTCATATTTCAAGTTACAGTTTACAAAATAACTGATATAATGACTAAAGTAGAGAATCTCTTCACTAACTCCAGGCTACGAGCTGTTTACAAAACATTGTTTGATGCGTAAGTGTTCGTTCAACAACAGTTTTCATTTGTGGTGTGCACAATTTTGAAGTGCAATAACTTTGGCAAGCCTTCTATTAGTTACCACACTAAATAAAGTATTGTTAGTAGTTTTTTTTAACATCAGTAGATCTGGAGTCTATATCGCCGTGCATTTAGTGTGAAATTAATGTTAACTGATGTAATCTTAATTTTCATAGAGCGGCAATTATTTCATTAATCTCGTTCTCTTTCTTGTTAAGTCACGTGTTCTTTGAATTTTGCTTTTATCTTAGAAATCAGAGAAGGCTTAATATTATTTCCGTGCGGCGTCTAAACGGCCAAGGACAAAACGGCCCCGTCAAAACGACCCCGACAAATCGGCTCCGACATAAGAGCCCCGTCAAATTGACCCCGTCAAAATGGCCAGCGACATATGGACCCCGTCATAAAGGCTCCCGACAAATAGGCTCCCGTTACACAGGCTCCCGACAAAAGGGCTCCAGTCAATAAGGCTCCTGACAAATAGGCTCCCGTCATTTTGGCTCCCGACATATAGGCTCCCGTCATTTAGTTTTTTCCACAAAACATCATGTAAACATCATGTACATCGTACATTTTCACTTCTGTGCTCGCTTTTATGCAACAGATGTTTGCTGTTGTAAATTAAACATTATCAAAATTTTAGAATTGGTAGATTTTAGCAGTTAAGGGCTTGATTTGTTTGTGAATTGATGTTGGTTCATGAAAAACAATTTCATTCAAGCATTAAAACGAGGTTAGTAGTAGTGGAGGTAGGACAAAATTGTTACTTTTATGCCAATAGTGGTCATGCCATTCATTTGTCGGGAGCCAGTATGTCGGGAGCCCATTTGTCGGTAGCCAATATGTTATGAGCCCATTTTTCTACTTAGCCCATTTGTTGTGAGCCCTTATGTTGGGTGCCAATATGTCGGGAGCCACTTTGTCGGGAGCCAGTATGTTCTGAGCCTATTTGTCGGGAACCAATAGGTCCAGAGTCCATTTGTCGTGAGCCTAAATGTCGGGAGCCCATTTGACGGGAGCCAATAAGTCGGGGTCCTTTTGACGGGGCTATTTTGACTGGGTCGTTTTGTCGAAGGTCGATTTGACGGGGTCATATTAACGGGGCGGTTGTGACGGGGCCGATTTGTCCCGGGCCGTATTGACAGGGCACCTATTATTTCAAATGGACCAAAACCCTCAACAACTATATAACGCACTCTACTCAACCATTATGTAACAAGTAAGTCAAAAATATTTTTGTCCAGCTTTGATGGTCTGCTAAAGGTATGTTGTATTTAGCAGCTGCACCGATTATCTCACCTGAAAGTTTCGGTGTTATTGTTAACAAGCAAGTCGTAAAGAACTGTCGAAGTTTTAAGCCAAAGACGTTACTTCGCTGTAATGTTTGTCAAAATGTCGGTTGTTATCACATGCGATATGTGAAGGAGGGACAGCCCCCACTTGGCCTTGTTTCCCATTAGTTCTACACATTATACGATCGCCTTTTTAAATCTTAAATTATAATTAATAATTAAACTACTCAAAAAAAAATTCATAAAAAACATTTTAATGACAAGCTTTCATGTTATAATACACTAAAAATTAGAAATTAAATTATACACTACTATTTAAATAACTATAAAGAAAAGCGTGGGTCTCTTCCTAAATATTAGTAAAGGTATCCAGCGGCGTAGCGAGGTTGGGTGTCACCTGGTGCGGCACCTGATGGTGTCACAGCCCCCCCCCCGTAAGAATATATATATATATATATATATATATATATATATATATATATATATATATATATATATATATATATATATATATATATATACACACTTGTAAGTATGTGTATACACATGTGCATAATTATTTACATACATGGTTTAACATATAGCTTATTACGATTCTCAACCAACCGTTCTCCTAAGGCATATATATTGCAACGTTGAGTACGCCAATGTAGGTATCCAATAGACTCTAAAGTGACCCACGCTTTTCTTTATAGTTATTTATAGATATAGATATAAGCAGATAGATAAACAAAAGAGTTCGAATTCATTTGTCTAACAAAAAAGCTTGATCAACAATAACAATATACGTTATCTAATGTGGGAAGATGTTTTTAAAAACTAATTCAACTTTTGAAGAGGGAAGCAGTTCAGATAAAACAAAACCTTAACTCGTAAAGAGATAACCCATTTTTTCTTGCCAATATTAGACGTTCTTTAAACCAACAACACTTAAACATTTTGTCTACAGTGTGCGATTAACAAAGCTGAATTTAAATACTTTTTATTTACCACAAATTTGACCAACAATGCTGTTTGTTTTTTTCTTTGTCTTGACGCTAACATCAGCGGGTAAGTTTCAACACTTGTATTAGCATCGTAATAGGAAGTATAGAGAAAGTTTTATTATCGTGAAAAATAGCGGATTTTGTCCGTATGTTTGTGGATGTGTTTGTCCGTATGTGTGTGGATGAGTGCCTCTGTGTTAGTGTGTCTATGTATCTGTGAACACGATAATTTCATATATAAGTATTATATCAAATGTGTAGATCTGTATCAACTTTCAGTGATTTCCAATAACCGGAGGTGGGGCTTATACTACTTTTGATTTTTTTAAAAGCTTATAACTGGAGTGCTGTTTCAGATAGGTGAAATTTTACAAATAAGTAACAGATCTAGGTCTCTTCTCTCTTTTAAATTTTGCGTAATTTCCGTTTACCAGAGGTAGTACTTTAAGTTGTTTCCGATTTTTAAAAAAACCTACATGAATTCATAAAGCAGTAATATTCCGCACTATTATACACACATTGTTTGCAGTGTTTCTTCCAGACTTTTTTCTCCGGGGGGGGCACTTGAAATCTTCGGGGGGGCGGTAAACTTTCTTCGGGGGGGCGGACACTGTTAAAAGTATATATTTTCTATATAAATTATATAAATTTCATTTCGTTCGGGGGGGCGGTAAAAATTTTTCGGGGGGGCTTCGCCCCCCCGAAGAGATGCCTGGAAGAAACTCTGATTGTTTGCTGTTCACTTAGTGTGCAATGTTGTTCGCACGGTGTTGTTTTGGAGATTGTATCGACGATGTGTTGTTGTTTGTGAATTATAAACTGAATAATTTTTAAATTTGATTTAGACTATGAGGACTGAATGTTAATCACGATTTGAACACAGTATTTACAAAAATTATTTGTCCAACCATCAGAACAAAAACTAAACTTTAACTACCAGCGTGTGGAACAAAAGCTCAATGTCAGTTGTGTGGTTCAAGAGGCGAACAGTTTAAATTTTTCACATGTCACAAGCATGGTCATATCAAGGTCAGCTAATATTTTATTTTCAGTTTTAATTAGAATGTTAAGAATCGTTTGTAATATATCATATTCTCATAACTATAGAATGTAATAGATCATTTACTATAACTGTAGAATGTAATAGATCATTTACTATAACTGTAGAATGTAATAGATCATTTACTATAACTGTAAAATGTAATAGATCATTTACTATAACTGTAAAATGTAATAGATCATTTACTATAACTGTAGAATGTAATAGATCATTTACTATAACTGTAGAATGTAATAGATCATTTACTATAACTGTAGAATGTAATAGATCATTTACTATAACTGTAGAATGTAATAGATCATTTACTATAACTGTAGAATGTAATAGATCATTTACTATAATTGTAGAATGTAATAGATCATTTACTATAATTGTAAAATGTAATAGAGCATTTACTATAACTGTAGAATGTAATAGATCATTTACTATAACCGTAGAATGTAATAGATCATTTACTATAACTGTAGAATGTAATGGATCATTTACTATAACTGTAGAATATATATATATATATATATATATATATATATATATATATATATATATATATATATATATATATATATATATATATATATATATATACTAGCGTACCCGTCCCCCGCGCGTTGCCGCGGGGATAGAAGAAAGTATGACGAAATGTATTAGAAAGATTTCACCAACGCGTTACCAATCATGTTCTTAGACGCGTGACCGTCTTTTCTAAAAGTGAGTTATTAAAATGTAAACAAAGCCTGGGCTTAATTCATAAATATTGGGACACAGGTTTACCTACACTACCGCATGTAAACATTGAGTGTACATTAATCACTCACCGAAATAATATGTTAGAACACACTTCGGTGACCGCCCATGTGTCAGAGATGTACAGGGGCGTTCTCCCCCCCCCCCCCCCAGATTACACTACCGCATAGGCGCGGCGTACGACCCCTGGCTCCTTAAAAGTAATAGGCGCCATCGTGCCAAATAGCATCCTGTTAGTAATGATGCAGATTTCATCATTCGCTAAAGTGCCACAAATGAACAGGCTTTTTTTCTTTAACACGTAAAAAAGACATGTTTTAAACATCAGTGTGACTGATGAAATATGCTAGCGTTACTAATGGTCTATTATTAGATGCTCGATCTCAATTTCTGACTGGATTTTCTAATAGTAGATGCTTATTGCATCACTGGCAAAGTGACGAAACTCTACAGTAGGCTCCTCATATTCAAAAAGTTATTTTTTCATCTTTGGCAAGGTGACGAAACTGTACAGAAGGATTTCCTCGCGTTACAAAGTTATTTTTAGAAGACTGTTGTAGTTTTACCGCTGAGTATAGTAGTACCCCTTACTCGCTATGCAGGACGCTCGATTAACGGGTGCCAAGTGCCAACATAGTCGCTCTAAAACTCTGGGCGCCAAACCGTGTATTGACGAAAGTTGTACCCTATATGAAACCCATAAGAAACTTTAGTTTTCTTTTTCGCATAAATATTCTCGGGAGTATTCTCATCTACTTCCTAAAGTTTATGGCACTCGGATTAACCGCATCCGAGTTTTATTTTTTATATACCGTGTATAGAGAAAAAAAATCGCTCCCCCTGGGGGCGCCGCCCTTGCAATATTAAACAATATTTTTTTGCAGAACCCTACCATTGAGTGATCTAATCATCTCCCCAAAGTTTCATGGTACACGGATGAACGATGTGAAACCGAAATAGACTTTTATTTTTATAAACCGTATATAGAGAAAAATCGGACCCTCCCGTGGCGCCGCCCTTGCGAAATTAAAAATTATTTTTTAACAGAACCTTTCTCTAGAGTGGTATAATGAACTCCCCAAAGTTTCATGCCTATCGGATGAACGGTGTCACTGCAATTCACTTTTATTATTTTTATAAACCGTATATAGAGAAAAATCGGACCCTCCCGTGGCGCCGCCTTTGCGAAATTAAAAATTATTTTTTTACAGAACCCTTCCCTAGAGTGGTATAATGAACTCCCCAAAGTCTCATGGCTATCGGATGAACGATGCCAAACCAAAATCGACTTTTATTTTTATATACGGTATATAGAGAAAAACAAATCGCGCCCTGCCGGGGCGCCACCCCTGCGAATTTGAAATTATTTTTTTTCGCAGAAACCTCCCCAGGAATATTCTCAACAACTTCCCAAAGTTTCACGGCGATGTGATGAGAGGTGTAGTAATGCATAAAGGACAGACAAACAAACAAACACACACACATACATTGCTTTATATATATATATATATATATATATATATATATATATATATATATATATATATATATATATATATATATATATATATATATTCACATACCTACCTACCCCATACACGGAGTACCACATAAATTATTACAATTCTCAACCAAACTGTTTAGCTCAGGCATATTTTGCAGGATTGATCAAGCTAACTCCCCCCCCCCTCTCTCACACCCAGTAGCGTACGCAGGGGGGGAGCAGGGGGAGCGGCCGCTCCCCCTCTGGCCATTTTCAGCAAAGTGGCGCCTTTTTGGAAACTTTTTAAATTCAAAGTTTTAAACAATGATATTTGTTAAAAAAATATTTTTGGTCGGCACATCTATGTAAATCAAAAGATTTCTTTTCATGCAGCAATTAAGCATTATTGTTCTAGTCTAGTAGTGTCTACGTTTACAACACGTATTAACAGCTGCATCAGTTTACCTTTCTAAAAATAACCATTACGATGTATTGCAATGTTTAAAATACCTCTACGGTAGTACCACTTGGCAAGAGGTGTGTTAAGTTTAAGGCAACTGTATAATGTATTTGCTTACGAATAATTGAATTAGAAAATGTTATTCATAAAACTTCACACATAATTACTTTATATATACAGTTTGAATCGTGTGATTAATTTAAAAAAAATTACAATACAGAAACAGTTTGAGCGATAGTGATTACGATTACAAATTATATGAAACAATTACAACCCCCCCCCCTCCCCCATGGACCCCTCTGTAAAAAAATATTGTCATGATACCACTGCTACTTATTTAAATCTATTTCTGTAATATATATTTGTGTAATATATATTTGTGTAATATATATGTATGTTTAGAACAGTCATCTAAAAACTGATGCTATGTTCACTCTGAGTTGGTTATCTCCCCCCCCCCCCCGCCCCCGCCCCCCCCCCACCCCCACATCTCACCATCACAATTGTGTAGAGCGACATTAATGTTACACCTAGGTATACACTGGGTTGGATAATTGACCTAAAGTGAACGGACAGTGGTGAATGAAGTTGAACCCATCCCCCGAACCCATCCCCCCCCCCCCCAACCCACCCCGAACTGATCTGTTAAGTACATGTAGAAAGACGCGTAATGATGTACCAATGTACCATGCCGCCAGAAAATTAGCTTTTTAAACGTAAAACTCTGTGAATATTGTTTTTGAAATTACCAGTAAAAAGGTGTGTGATCAATACAGTGATCTAACCCATACCTATCACTATGTTTAAAAAATGATCTTTAAAGAACACAAAGAAGCAGTAGATAATTGAAATATATGAATTAGTACTGAAAGACCGATGTTCAGTTATATGTAGGCTGTTATTCCGAATGTTGCTCTAATAAATTGAAAAGCGTGGTTTTATACCAACTCTGATTTTAAAAACTTTCATTATGCTGTAATACTTTAGCATTTATGATGACGATATATTAAATTCTGATTATAGACAAAAACATTTTGTAAACACAAATAGTCTTAAACAATTTCATTATATTCTAAAGTAATTATTTATTTGTAATGACATTTACAATTAAATGTGTAAATATATACATATTTATATTAAGAGAGTGATTATTTCCCCTATTTCCCTTGTCTTAAATAATTTCCCAGGAATTATTATGTAAGAAATTTTGTTTACAAGAATTACAAAACAGATTGTGTTACGTTCATTGTTTTTGGTTGTCGTGTATATATATATATATATATATATATATATATATATATATATATATATATATATATATATATATATATATATATATATATATATATATATACATTGTTTAAATTGATACAATTTTTGTTTTGTCGGCCAACATTGTGTGTTTTTTCTTATTTCGTCAGAGTGCTACTTTCAATTTATTTTACATCATAGCGAATTAAAGACATACAGCTATATATATATATATATATATATATATATATATATATATATATATATATATATATATATAATACACGTATATAGAACGTGTTAAAAATTCGGCGCCTTTTTTGTTCTTTTCGCTCCCCCTACAACGAAAACCTGGATACGCCTCTGCTCACACCCCTCCCTTCCCCCCCCCCCTACTTTCACGGCTATTGCTCAGATATAATACTAACGATTATTATCTATGGTTAGGTAAGGTCTGCCTGTCGTCCCTCCTGGGACATAGGCCGCTGACAAGAGCTCTACAGGCGTCTCTGTCCTGGGCTAGTATCTCCAACTGTCCCCAGGTGTATCCAATCTTCTTGATGTCTTCTTCCAGGTCACGTCTCCAGGTCTTTCTTGGTCTGCCTCTCCTCTTCCTACCCTGTGGATTCCAGATGAGGGCCTGTCTTGTTATGCTGGATACAGGCTTCCTGAGTGTGTGGCCAATCCGTTTCCATTTTCTCTGTAGGATCTCTACTTCATCTGGCAATTGATTTGTCTGTTGCCATAGAACATCATTTATGATGGTTTTAGGCCAGCGTATTCGCAGGATCTTTCCGAGACATGTGTTTATAAATGATTGTATTTTCTTCTTATTTATAGCAGTTATTCTCCATGTCTCAGCTCCATAAAGTAACACCGGTTTTACTAGTGTGTTGAAGATCCGGATTTTTATTCCAAGGGTTAAATGTCCAGAAACCCCAAAAAAATTTAGTTGGTTGAATACTGCTCATGTCTTGCCCGTCCTAATATTTATGACTGCTTCTTTCCCACCCAGCTTATCAACAATACTTGAATCTTGGTGAATCTATCCACTTCTTCTAGGGCTTCTTCTGCCAATGTTATAGGGGTGCTGTTTGATGCATTGACTTTGAGAACTTTACTTTTCCCTCTGTGGATGGTCAGTCCCAGGCCTGTAGAAAAATTAACAACACTGTTGGTTTTAGTTTGCATTTGCTGTTGTGTGTGAGAAAGAAGGACCAGGTCATCAGCAAAGTCCAGGTCATCCAGCTGGCTCTACAGTGTTCACTGTATACTGTTTCACTTTTTCTCTGTTGACATCTTCATAATCCAGTCTATGACCAGCAGGAACAGGAATGGTGAAAGAAGGCAACCCTGCCTTACTCGGGTGTGTACTGGGAAGGCCTCTGTAGTCTGTTGGCCATGCACTACTCTACATTTCAGACCTTCATATGAAGACATAATAATGTTGACTATTTTCTGTGGCACCCCATAATGTCTCAACAATTTCCACATTGACTGTCTATCCAAGCTATCAAAGGCCTTCTCCTAATCTATGAAATTAATGTAGAGAGAAGAGTACACTCTTGGGTCTGTTCAATGATGATGGGTAGGGTAGCAATTTGGTCTATGCATGACCTTTCCTTCCTAAATCCCGCCTGTTGATCTGGAAGCTGGGGATATATCGCTTCCTTCATTCTGTTTAATAATATTCCGTTGAAGACTTTGCTTTGGATGGACAAAATTGTTATCCCTCTATAGTTTGAGCATGCACTGAAATCGCCTTTCTTTGGAAGTTTTATGAGTAGTCCCTCCTTCCACTCCTCTGGTTATTGTTCGCCTTCCCGGATTTTCTTGAAAAGTGTGTATCGTAGTGTGGTGCTAGTTTCTATATCTGCTGTCAGTATACCATCTATTCCTGGAGCCTTCCAATTTTTCAGCTGCTTTATAGCTTTATGTATCTCTTCTTTGGAAGATGGGTTGCAGTCTATAGGGAGGTCACTTTCAGCTGGTGATATATCTTGCGTGCACTCTGGTGTTGGTCTATTCAGTAGTTCTTCAAAATGTTCTGCCCATCTCTTCTTCTGTCCTCTCGCATCAGGTATTGTCTTTCCATCTTTGGTCTTCACCGGCCTCTCTGGCTTACTGTACTTCCCAGATATCTTCTTAATTGTATTGTACACGTCCCTAATATTACCATGGTACAGTGCTTCTTCTGCTTCACTTGCCAGCAGTTCTAAATATGCATCTCTGATGCATTTTTGACACTTTTGTTTGTTTCCGTATATTCTTCCATTGATTTAAATTTAGCAGCCCGTGTACCACTGTTGTTTAATGTTGCCTTCTTTCTTTTTCCTTCAGTTTGAGCTTTCCTTTAGCTACCAGTAGGTGATGGTCTGAAGCAACATCAGCTCCTCTCTTGACGCGTACATCTTGAAGTGATCTCCTGAACTTTTATATGATCTTTTTGTAATCACTAAATTGCTATTGGCACACAAGTCAGCAAATCTTTCTCGGTGTTCGTTCATCTCACCCTAACCTTGCTGTCCCATACATTTTTCATATCCTCTGTTGCCTCTTCCAATCTTAGCATTGAAGTCGCCCATGAGTATTAGGATGTTTCTTCTTGGGCTGTTATGGATAATGGTCATTAGCCTTTTGTATAATTCATCTTAGACCTCTTCTTTGCTGTAATTTGTTGGGGCGTAGGCCTGTTTTATGTCCATGTTCATTCGTCTTATTTTAGTTTAAAAGGTAGCTGTTATGATCCGCGGGCATTGTGCCTCCCATCCAATGAGAGCCCTTTGTGCTTGGTTTGACAGCATGAATGCGACTCCTTGAGTATGTGGTGCATTTTTATCCTCATGGCCTGAGAACACCAGTAGCTATATATGTAAATGAGCTTGAGGGGGGGGGGGTGTCGCAAAATGGAAATAGTTCTCCTCGGGCGCAGGAATGGATCCCAACGTCTCTGATGCCACGTAGTCTTTAATTATGTGTAACGACGTTTTATTTTCCCATTTTCTGCTTTAATAAACCAATATACAAAAGTCTAACCCACACAGGGAAATCGCCGGGAAATACGAGATTTTGGCGTCAGGTGCTCCAGGTGATGGCGTATCTGTAACCAATCAAATTGCTTCTGCTGACGTCACCGGACAAGTTTCCTGGAATGCTGTAAGCATGACTTAAATAGTAATATAACAACTTTAATTAATTTATATAATTTATGGTGGATTTTATTTAGAGAATCCGAAAATCTCGAGTTCGAATCCGGGTTTAAGTCAGTAGAAGGTTCTGAGTCCACCCAGCTATAATGGGTACCTAATTCACGGGAAACGTAGAAGAAGCTGTGCATAGTGCAGACCACACTACCCCTTCAAATGTCGATATCACAAAAATAGATGAATTCTTTTCACTTACCCCATGGACAGTCGGTTCAAGAAAGGTACCTTAGAATTCAGTAAACTTATTTCATAGTATCCTAAATTTCATAAGTAGGTTTACACAATAGGTTTACACAATTAAAACAGTCTTTAAAATTGCATTACAATTTTTTTAAACACACTTTTAAATCTTAAATCAGCAATCTTCATCTTTTCTGAACATTCAATGGAGCACGGCTGACCAGTCTCTTAGTGGAAATTACAAGTGTGAACTTAACGGTTTAACCTTCCAGAATATTCCACAAGCTCTAAACCAAGTTATGTTCGTATCAGTAGCCGGTAAATATTTTTTTAAAGAGTTGATTCAACTAGTCTAATATCTGAGATACTTAAAACCAGCAATACATGAAAGTACTTTGAAAAAAAAATATAGACCAACAGACCTCAAAAAACATGTATAAATGATAGAATATGCATATATGAACGATTTTTAAAAATGTATACATATAAGAACTTTTAAAAGAATTTTTTAAAAAGTAAGTACTTATAAAAGAATATTTTTTGTCAAACTGACATAAATTGAAATAGAAAATATGGCTGTAATGTTTTCATCGTGAAAATGTTTTCATTGTGAAAATGTTTAAATAGTGAAAATGTTTTCATTGAATTTTTTAAAATGTTCACCTTTTGATCCCAAAAATTGTGAGCCTTGTAATAAAAACTAAAATCATCTTGTGTTAAAATATGTTTATCTTGTGTTAAAAAATGCTTATGTTGTGTTAAAATATGTTTACCTTGTGCTCAAATGTTTATCTTGTGTTAAAAATGCTTATGTTGTGTTAAAATATGTTTACCTTTCCTAAAATATGTTTATCTTGTGTTTAAAAAATGTCTAAGCAGATCGTTAATCCCCAGACACTGAGCCGACCATGACGGCTACACCTGGAACAATCGAACCCGGCTTGACCAGAAATCTGAGTGTCCGATGTTCTATATCTAACCTTAACACGCTCAAGATCTCACAGGTGCTTCATTGTTATTTTCTCGTATACAGCGTGTAAAATTTCGACAAATCTCGACGTTTTACCAAACTTTCTTTTGTTATCTTGACTAACATTCTCTTTGTAGGTAAACACGTGTCGATAATTTGAATATCTTTTCAGTTAGGTGGACGAAATGTCATGTATATTATTTCACAATTTTAATTTTCCAAAAACTTTTAGAGACGGTACTTACTCCAGTTTGGGTTTTTCATAAGCTGTTTACTGTCGTACCTTAAACAAAGGTGTACGAAATTTCACATAAAAGTATTACATTGTACGCCCAACTTGGGCGTAGAGAGGGGGGGGGGGGCGGGGGTGAGGACCGCACCGGGTGACACCAAGGCAACAAATAGCAAAATATATAAAGAAAAAATGATAATTCCACTTAATTAAGTGATTAATTTGAGTGCTAAATAGTGTTTTAAGAGGTGCAAATCGAAAATTGAAAGTTTGTCCCCGGGAAGGGTCGCTACGCCTCTGGGGGGTGACACCATTAAGTGCCGCACCGGGTGACACCCGACCTCGCTACGCCACTGCGCCCAAGTTGTTTTCAACCTTTGAACGAATTCTGGTTAGCGGAACAACCGCTTTACTATATTTACGTGTGTACACGATAACTTGAGAACTGTTAATTAGAAAAATTAAATTGTAACATAAGTAACATCTTTTTGTAGAGGGGGATGGGCCGGGGGAGCAAAAGCTGAAATGAATCGATCAGTTAGAAGTGGTCGAAATTTCGCTCGCCATTTTCGATCTTTGACGGACAAACGATAGGGGAAACAAGTTAAATGGCACCTTGTAATAAAAAGTTAGACTTCAATACTTATTTTCCTAATTTCTTTGAATTAAAAAAATTATGTTTATGATAGTTTTTTCTTAAACTAGTTTGATGTAATGTTGAATATGAAGTTTTTGAAAGCCTTTTTTATTGCTGTATGTAGGTGTTATCAATAGAGATGTTTGTCCTGCGTGATAACGTGGACCAAATCCTTGCCGCGGCCACAGCTTTTAAACCAGCAGAAACCAAGCCAGGAAATGAGAATGCTGTGGTGGACGGATATGTAGGGGCTTCTGTAAGATATTTTTTTGCTCCGTAGTAGATCGTGGGCCCTATTAGTCTTTATGGGTATCTAAGTGGTTATACTTGAAAGTTTGGCATAACGATCTTATCTAAGTATGGAGAAATACCACGGAAAATAAAGCTTTATATTTGCACTAGTATTTTTGTGGTGAATAGGCCTAAATGTTAAATAAAAGCGTTGATATTTTTTTTAATTTATTCAGACACACAAAGAAGAAAAGAAAAATGTGTTTGAAGTTAATGTAGTAAATGTATCCAAGAAATATGAGTTGCTATTTTAAGTAAAAAGAGCTGAATAGAGTGGTCCATGACATTCATTTTAAAACAGGGAGCTCAATATTATGTTACATAATTGAATTTTAAAATTTTGACTTCGTTGAAAAGGTTGAATAGGACCAAAAACACTTTTTAATTAGTCAAATAGAGACCCAAAAATTTGTTTGAGTTGTCGACTATGCATTTATAGTTTTAACAACATGACTTTGATGCGACTTTTGAGGTCTCTTTTTAAAGACATTTTTTTTCTAGAACAAGCCTCAGTACATTCAGGTATCTTGGGAACACCCTACACTTCAACATGGTGGCGCTTACCTGTGTGACATTATGGCAATTAACAGCAGCAATCTACCTGTTAGCTATTCCAGAACTATCAATGTAACATCCAGAGGTAAACGCTAATTGTTTTAGCCGTTCATTAAGTTTGTTGCAGTCAAGTCTACCAATATTTTTAGTGACAGACACAAGTTCATTATTGATATTGAAACGAAAAACCCAGGTACTATTTAAAAAGTGTCGACTCATGCTAAAAGATATCGATTTGTTCATTGAAAAGATAAATATAATTAAATACAAAATCAACACATAAACTTTCATATCACAAAGCAATAATGCCTTTTGTGTTAGGGTTTGGGTTCTTCATAAACAACAGTTGACCTGTTTATAAACATGTTCACTATTCGCGAGTCTCTATAACCACCCAGAAAACATTTATGCGTCTCCAATGTTGACCCTAAATTGTTACTTCATGAGTTGAGTAAAACATAAACGTCATATTATGCCCCTTAATTGGATTATATTGCACTAAATAGGTTCAGTGGTACTCACGCCAATTTGTGTTATTCATAATGTGAAAACTGCAGGGGCGGAACTACAGAGCCAGACCCCGCAAAGGGGGGGGGGGGACGTCATTTAGGGGCCCATAGTCAACCATAATTATAAAAATTTTACTTAAAAAATAATTTTCTTGCATTTTTGACCTAACGGTAAAAGCTTTTGTAACTAACAAACAAATCTACTACAGTAGTAATGTTATACAGTAACTACACATGCTGTTGCGTTAAAAAAATGTATATGCCTGAGCTGTAGTGTGAAAGATAGAAATATACATACTAAAGATTGATATATAACATAAAATGGAAATATATTAAAACAAATAATACAAATTCCAAAAAACATAAAAATAAACATAACACGAGAAACCATTACACATACAAAGCTTTCACGATTTATATTTTTTTCACCTGCTAAACCTAGAGGGCAGGCAGTATTACAGCAAACATATTGAGTGAAAAAAAAATAATTCAAAACAGATTTATGCACTAACAGACACACATAACATGTTGTAAATTGTTTAAAGTTTAAAAAAAAAAAATTTTTTTCAAACCCCGATCAGGCCTGAAATGACTATCCAATGTTTGTATTCTGTGTTTGTATATATATATATATATATATATATATATATATATAAATTGCGGGGTGGCCCTTTTGTTCTAGTTCCGCCACTGGATAACTGTAGTACATTTTGTATCATATATATGTATATATTATATTATACACACACACACACATATATATATATATATATATATATATATATATATATATATATATATATATATATATATATATATATATATATTCTACTAGAATCTACAAGGGACGAGCTTGTGGATAAAATCCACGATCTTGAGGCCATGTACGACACATCTGTGTCAGCACATCTGGAGTGTCAGTCCGAGTTGAAAAATTCCAGCGAGAATCTGACACACCTGGAGAATGAACATTTGTCTACTTTATCTACTCTGGACACAGTGAACAGCACCAAATGGTCACTCTCACAAAGCCTTGAGTCTACATGCAACCTGGCCAGCAACTTGCTTGTATTAACAAGTCAACTGATGGTCAACGTTACTGACCAGAACGTTACGGAATTTTTCGATAACTCTTCAAGCGCTATCCTAAAACTGTGTAAAAGAGAGTGTATGTTTAAATTTTGAAATTTTTAGAATTGTACACCTTAATTGATGACATATTTGGTTTATCTAACTTACCACAATGATTAAAAAAAAGAAACTTCTGTAATAGATGATAGTTAGTAAAATAACAATATATTGGCCCCCCTAATTGACTTATGTTTGATCAACAATTTATCAGCTGCCGATGTGAGTTGTGATTTCGAACGAGACTTGTGCGGGTTTGTTCAGTCACGTGATGACGACTTCGATTGGACACGAATTTCGGGCCCGACGTCATCCACTGGTACAGGCCCAGCAACAGACCACACACTGGGAACCGTTAATGGTTGGTTTAAATTTAATTAAAAATAAAGATTGGAGTTCAACAAACATAAAACAAGAGACGATATTTTCAATGGTCGAGTTATCATTCCTAAATGTGTGATCTATATATATATATATATATATATATATATATATATATATATATATATATATATATATATATATGTTCGAAATCCCGCAGGTCATTATGTGTATGTGTAGGTGTGATCTATGTGTATGTAATGAATCCCGCGGGTATTATGTGTATGTGAAGGTGTGATCTATGTGTATGTTTTGAATCCCGCAGGTATTATGTGTATGTGAAGCTGTGATCTATGTGTATGTTTTGAATCCTGCAGGTCACTATGTGTATGTAGAGACATCTAACGTTGTACAAGGACAAAGGGCTCGTCTTCAATCCCCGCTGATCAACGGGTCGCTCATGCGTGCTACGTGTGTGACATTTTATTACAATATGTATGGAACGGACATCGGGACACTTAACGTCTTCATCAAAGAAAAGGGTATGACGACCACTTCCGAAACGCTTCTCTGGACGTTACATGGTAATATTTTTAACATTTTATTTTTCTACCTAGTTACAAAATGTGTAGCTTCGCTGCTGCTCAGTTCGTTACACTAATTGCGTGAGCGTCTAACCCTAACTAACCTGCAGCAGTGCATTTCTTTGAAAACTATAACAAAAATATAATTGTAATTATACATGTCGGTTTTAGTTTTGTGAAGCACCACGGTTGGAATGAATCATCTTTTTTTGTGTGCCCGAGACACAAGGGGCCGCCACAGAAAGATCTCTCCACTTTAGTCGGTCACTTGCAATTTCCCTGTCAGTCCACCATGACAGTCTTGTCTCTGCTAGCAGCTTCCCTGCAGTGCCCCTAAAGATATGCCTTGGCCTTCCTGGGTTTTCTTTGAGACGTCAAGTTTATACAGATAGTGTAAATATATATTAAGGTGTAGATATCGGTGTCAATGGCTCTCACTATGTCTATGTACAAACAATGTCCATCTTATATAGTGGGGTGGAAGTGTTGTTTCATGTTTCTTATTAAAATAAAATTATTTGAATTTTGTTTTCAGGTAACCAAGGCAGCAGCTGGTTATTTTCAAAGCTCCGAGTGGCACCAACTTCCTCCAATTACGTCATTGTGTTTGAGGTTATAACGCTGTCAGGTTATATGGGTGATGTGGCCCTTGATGATATCAATATTAATCCTTCATGTGTCTGAGCAGATGTACGTTAGATGGCAAAATAAAAATCAGGAAACTGAAAAAATGTACAGAAAAATAAAACACATTCTCACACAACTTCAAGAACGTTAGTATTAGTAGTTGATCCGCACGTACATATGTACTAAAAAAACATATACTTAAATACTGCCGGTAAATTTAGTTAAAACAATAGAAAAACACTGTGGATAAGCGTAAAACAGACTCCAAACGATGAACGAGCAAACTTCAAAGATAGAATAAATATAGCTGTTTATTTTACAATCAGAATCATGGCTTTTGCATCAGGTAAAACTCTGTGAATATTGTTTTTGCAATTGCCAGTTAAGAGGTGTCTGAGCAATACAGTGATCTAACCCATACCTTACCATTTAGTTAAAAAATAATCTTTAAAGAACAGAAAAAAGCAGTAGTTTAAAAAAAGTAAAGATTTGATATACCAGAACAATAAAAAGACAATTAAAAACGATTTCTTTGGCGGGCTATTATGTTGGATGTTTCCAATTATTAGATACGAGAAAAATGGCCCGTTGAGGAAGGATACACCGGGCGCTAGGTTGATAGTGCTGTCTCTTTTCTCTAAACTAAAACCAACCCACCCCCCCACACACCACCCCCACCCCCCACCCCCCCGACCCCCAGACACCACCCCCACCCCCCACCACACACCACCCCCACCCCCACACACCATCCCCACCCCCCAACCCCACCCCCCACACACACCACCCCCTCCACACACCGCCCCCCCCACCCCCACCCCCCCACCCCTCCAACCCCCCCCCTCCACCGCCCCCCCCCCCCCCCAAAAAAACCATGTCTACCGTCCCATTCAACGAAATATAATTATATACTTTTTCCAGTGTCCGCCCCTCCCAGAAAATTCTACCCCCGCCCCCGAAAATTTCAAGTACCCCCACCCCTCTCCGGGGAGGAAAAAGTCTGAAAGAAACACTGAAACCAACCCACCCCCCCACACACCACCCCCACCCCGACACACCATCCCCACCCCCCACCCCCACCCCCCACACACACCACCCCCTCCACACACCGCCCCCCCACCCCCACCCCCCACCCCTCCAACCCCCCTCCACCGCCCCCCCCCCCAAAAAAAAAACCATGTCTACCGTCCCATTCAACGAAATATAATTATATACTTTTTCCAGTGTCCGCCCCCTCCCAGAAAATTCTACCCCCGCCCCCGAAAATTTCAAGTACCCCCCACCCCTCTCCGGGGAGGAAAAAGTCTGAAAGAAACACTGAAACCAACCCACCCCCCACACACCACCCCCACCCCCCCCCCCCACACCCCCCCCCACACCCCACCCCCCCCACCCCCCCCCCCCCCACCCCTCCCCCCCCCCCCCCCCCAAAAAAAACATGTCTACCGTCCCATTGCAAGAAAACCACTTTTTAGATTAGACACATTAATTTTATTATAGAGTATCGATGAGGAAATTTCTTTTGAGTTGGGGAGGGGGAGGGGCTCAGACGTTCTTACGCGGGGGGTGGGGCTTCGCCCCTACCCGAAGAATTGTATGCAAGAAACTCTTCACGCAAACCACTTAGATTAGACCAAATTGCCTTTGTATTGAATATGTTTACTCGATAATCAATGACGTCATATAACTGTGTGCACTCTCTGGGTTTAAGATTATTTTCTACTCTGTGCGCTAAATGTGTCGACGTCATACTTCGTTTTTCGAATTACTGTGCATGTTTTTAAATTGCTTGTCTTTTCTCTAGAGCGTTCTTGTCAGACAGATAGATAGATAGAGAGACAGCGAAACTATTATTATAGACGAGAAAAATGGCCCGTTGAGGAAGGATACACCGGGCGCTAGGTTGATAGTGCTGTCTCTTTTCTCTAAACTAAAACCAACCCACCCCCCCACACACCACCCCCACCCCCACCCCCCCGACCCCCAGACACCACCCCCACCCCCCACCACACACCACCCCCACCCCCACACACCATCCCCACCCCCCAACCCCACCCCCCACACACACCACCCCCTCCACACACCGCCCCCCCCCACCCCCCACCCCCCCCACCCCTCCAACCCCCCCCTCCACCGCCCCCCCCCCCCCCCCCCAAAAAAACCATGTCTACCGTCCCATTCAACGAAATATAATTATATACTTTTTCCAGTGTCCGCCCCTCCCAGAAAATTCTACCCCCGCCCCCGAAAATTTCAAGTACCCCCACCCCTCTCCGGGGAGGAAAAAGTCTGAAAGAAACACTGAAACCAACCCACCCCCCACACACCACCCCCACCCCGACACACCATCCCCACCCCCCACCCCCACCCCCCACACACACCACCCCCTCCACACACCGCCCCCCCACCCCCACCCCCCACCCCTCCAACCCCCCTCCACCGCCCCCCCCCCCCCCCCCCAAAAAAAAACCATGTCTACCGTCCCATTCAACGAAATATAATTATATACTTTTTCCAGTGTCCGCCCCCTCCCAGAAAATTCTACCCCCGCCCCCGAAAATTTCAAGTACCCCCACCCCTCTCCGGGGAGGAAAAAGTCTGAAAGAAACACTGAAACCAACCCACCCCCCACACACCACCCCCACCCCCCCCCCCACACCCCCCCCACACCCCACCCCCCCCACCCCCCCCCACCCCTCCCCCCCCCCCCCCCCCCCAAAAAAAACATGTCTACCGTCCCATTGCAAGAAAACCACTTTTTAGATTAGACACATTAATTTTATTATAGAGTATCGATGAGGAAATTTCTTTTGAGTTGGGGAGGGGGAGGGGCTCAGACGTTCTTACGCGGGGGGTGGGGCTTCGCCCCTACCCGAAGAATTGTATGCAAGAAACTCTTCACGCAAACCACTTAGATTAGACCAAATTGCCTTTGTATTGAATATGTTTACTCGATAATCAATGACGTCATATAACTGTGTGCACTCTCTGGGTTTGAGATTATTTTCTACTCTGTGCGCTAAATGTGTCGACGTCATACTTCGTTTTTCGAATTACTGTGCATGTTTTTAAATTGCTTGTCTTTTCTCTAGAGCGTTCTTGTCAGACAGATAGATAGATAGAGAGACAGCGAAACTATTATTATAGATAGATTTGAATTCAGAGTAAAATCGCGTTTTATAAACCAACTCAGTTTTGACAACATTTTTTCTATGCTGTGATGTTTTAGCATTTATATAAGAATATACTGAATTCTTATTGTAATAAAAAAAGGAATGATAATAATAAGCTATTTTATTGTATAAAAAAGTAATTGTTTAATAAGTTTGAATTTGCTAATTGCAATTAGTTAAATCTGTAGTATACTTTAGACGTATAGATATCTATATAAAGAGAGTGATTATTTCCCCTACCATAGTTCGCTTGTCTTAATTAATTTCTATTATGTCAGGGTGTTTAGCGCAATATCCATTCTGGAGAATTGCGTTTATTAACTCGTCATTTCTGGGAATGGATGGATGAATGAATGAATGAATGTATGGATGTATGGATGAATGTGTGTCCGGGCTTTAAGTCGTATCTCCTCCTCAACGAAGCAATATCGATGACTAGTTTTTTTACAAGGACTACAAAACATATTGTTTTGTGTTTCTTGTTTTTGTTTGTTTTGTGAGTACATGTTGTGTTCTATTTTGTTGTATGAGATAAATTGTTTTGTGTTCTCGGTCTACATGGTGTTATGTTCTTTTCTTTCACAACTTAGTAATGTTTGAAAGTCCACTATATACGCCTCTTCCTTTCTACTGTATTTAAATGGCCAGAGGCGCTAACAAAAACTGTTTATGTTACTGGCGATAAGTGTCGTAGCCAGGAATAGGTCATGGAAGGGGTTCAAAAATTTCCATACGTATATAAACCTATTAGGGGTCGGGGTCCGTGGGAGTGGTTATAACCCCCTTAACCCCCCCCCCCCCTTGCCTACGCCACTGCTGACGATATCTGCCTTCTGGACTATGAATTACTGCACCAATGTACTTAGCTCATAAGGTGGTATCGACCAAGATATTCTGGTCAGATTGCACTGAACAATATAAAAGCATTGTCAAGATCACAAATCAGATTCAATGCACGCGTGTTGTGATAATGAACAAACTACTGAGCACAAGAAAAAGGCATTTATTGCAGATGATGAAAGTGCTGGGGTTAGACATTTGGAAAGAAAACGGTTGTATAGGTCACATTATCAAAAAGATATTTAAAATCACTCATACACAAGAGACGCACACATACACACACACACACATACACACACAAGAGGGCCCTGGTGTTGATTCCAAATGTGTAAGACGGTTGTCATGCCTTGGGCCCGAAATGTAGTCTAGATCTAAGCTCATTATGTAGCCAAAAATGAAATAAGGAATAGTTTAGAAGTTTACCTTGTTTAGTATAAAGTTTAGAATATTTTTTTTACCACGGCATATGAAGGGACAGTGTAGTCGACATTGTGCCAAGACGCCTTAACTTTCCCCGACGTAAGTCAGGTACCCATCATAGCTGGTATATGTAGTGACGTCCTACAGTTACAAGTCAGAAAAAAGTTATAATTATTGTAGATTTAATATCAGTAAACTTAGAATATGTTTATCTATTGTAATGGATGAGTCGCTGGACAGTTGTTCCACCTCTCAACTTCTTGTGTTCATTAGAGGTGTGGATGAAGACATGAACATAACACAGTAGCTGGCTTCCCTACATAGAATTATGACACTGTTACCGGAGAGGATATAGTTCAGAGAAACGTTGAAAGATACAAACACAGAATCGCAAGATTTACCATATTTCACAGCAGTAAAGTGGCTAATTTATGAGAAAGTTCTGAGCAGAGTATTTAAGTTAATAAAGGAAATAAGTGACTTCTTGGAAAGTAAAGGCAAGCCACAGCCATTCATGTCTGATGAAGAGTGGGTATAGAAATTGGTCTCTGCTGCAAATATAACTAGTCATTTAAATTTTCTAAACCTTCAACTACAAGAGAGGGGAATCTAGTTTCTGATCTATACACCCACCTAAAGGCCTTCAGATCCAAACTTGTCTTGTATTTGGAACAAGTACAGGCCAACAACTTGACGCATCACAGCAGTGCAAGGTCTTTACGGCTGAACCAACCACTGAGTTCCCCAAGTCATTTGTATGCGAGATCATCAAAGACCTCCAGCTGCAGTTTCAGTTGCGTTTTTCTGACTTGGATTCAAAGGCAGAAGAAGTGAGACTATTTCAAAACCCATATGATGCAAATTTAGCCAGTTACAAAGATGAACAGCAGCTGGAGATCATTGAATTGCAAGCAAATGACCTCCTTAGAGACACGTTCAAAGAAGGGAGTGTGGGTTTTTATACGTTTTTGCACAAGGAAGACTTTCGTGATCTTAAAATGTTTTCATCAAAGTACGTTTCAAATATTGGAACAACATACCTGTATGAACAAAAAATTTCAAGAATGAAATCGTGAAGAATAATTTGAGAGCAAACTTGGCCCTCGAGTGTTGTTGTCCCCCACTAGTGTTTCTTTCAGACTTTTTTCTTCAGAGGAGGGGGACACTTGAAATGTGTTTATATTTCTATATAAAATATATTTCGTTTGGGGGGGGGGGGCACCACCACCTCAAAGAGATGTGCTGAAGAAAGTCTGGCCCCCGAACTGATATTTGATAGTCAATGCGGCCCTCAGTCTGAAAAGTTTGGAGACCCCTGGGTTACATGATTGAATACGCAACAACCTATTCATGGACTCTCTTTAGCTATAACGTAATGTGCGTAGTTTCTATCTAATCTATTTATAAGTTATTTTCACTAAAACTTAATTACAAACTGCAACATACAAAAAAAAACTAGTCTTAAGTGGTGCTTGGAAGTTGAAATAAACAGTAGCCAGCTGTAACATACAACTTTACATCAAGTCAATTAAGTTTATTTAGAACTGAAGAGTAAGAAATATATATTTATTTTTCTCCCATAAGTGTTGTTTTAAACACACACACACACACAAATATAAATTAAAAACACAATAATGAAGAAAATCAAAGTAGATGTGTATTTTATTTAAAAAATAAAACTAGATAATATTTCAAAGGTTTGTTGAAATTATAAAAAATAATTTCTAAATCAAAAGAAGAAATGCATTGCATTATTGCATGTTATTTTTAAAGTACTAAATTGTGTTACATTGTTAACAGGTAGACTTAAAACATTTCATTGAATAAAGTACAGAAACAGATCAAATTGTGGAATGCAAGTAATGTTTGGCTTTAAAAAGAACAAACCAAAATAAATTACAACACATTCACTATTCAAAAGCTATCACCCCTGACTAAATAAATATCTTGAAAAATAGTAGATTGTAATTACATTTGTTTCTAAGGTTGCTTCTTACATAACATTTCAGATTATCTATAGATCACAACGATAAGGAATTGCTTAAAAAGTTATTTTCTACATTACTTTAACCATGGTAAACATACAGTGAATCTTTATATTAATAATAAAATAACTTTAGCTAACCATTTGTAATTTACTATGGTTGAAAAAAAGTTATAATTTGTGTTTAATATTATACAATCTACATTTTTTGCCATTGAAATAAGTATAATATAATATCAGAAAATACTTCAAGAGAATATTTTCATTAGTGTTAGGTTAGGGCTTGTTATTTAAAAAACTCACTTAATATCAACAAATGTGCTGTATAGAAAAAATTAGATAAAATAAAAATATAGATATGTGCAATTAAAGGAAACAATCTAGAGAATAAGTGAAGCAGAATTAGAAATATAAATATCTGCTACAACTGGTATTATTCTGTATAAAATAATATACCTTCAATGTTGACATCAATTGTGATGTTATTTCCATAAGAAAAAAATAAAATATTCAATAGAAATTGATTGATTACCTATAGATGGAATGTAAGGTAATAGGATGAAATATATATCTAGAAGAAAAATGGTATAAACAATAGAATGGTTTATTTTTAAAAACTATATATAGAACAATATGGCTTTTTGCTAATATAATGAAGGCAACAATTGTAGTGAACAATCAGACAGTGTCATTTTAGTCTGTTTTCCCATTAGATAGGCATTTAAATGGTGAGCATGTTTCTGACGACATTCCTCGTTTAGTTTTTTGGAACCTAAGAGAAAAAAATTTTGTTAATTATATTTAATTATATGTACAATTAAATTTATGTAACTTAAAAAAAATAATACATTAGCAATTTTTGAATCAACTAAAAAGAAAATTATCTAAATACCTCTTCAAAGGTTTCTGAAAGTATGATCTTAACTTCATGTTAAATGTCTTTCGTTGAAGTTTATGAGCAGGACTTTTTGGTGGGAACCATGCAATTGATGCCTGTGGCAAGTTTTCTAATTGACTTGATGAACTGTCAGCTTGCAAAGCTTCAGATGTATGTATAAACCTAGACTGATTCAAGTGTGATGTTTCTTTCCCACTTGTTTTATTTATAGACTCCCTTTTTTTTTTCGGTGATCTCTGGTATGAAATTTCAGATGTCAACTGAAAAATTTTAAAGGCAGTTGTATGCTTTGTTACTATTTAAAGTATCTTGATAAATTTTGTATTACTAATATATAGCTAACAAAATAAAACGACCACTGAATAATAATTTAAGTGTTAAACTTTTTGTGACTATATGAACCTGATTTCTTTTACTAAAATTAATTATTTCCCTATAGTTTGAACCGGGTTCTATATTGTTAATAAAGATAAATATATGACTTTAACACCTGACTCAAATATAGGCTTCATCATTCAAAAATTAAAGACACACCAGCCGTACCTTGACAGGTTCACACAAATTGCTCTGGCTACCCCGTAGTGAAAAGCTGTACTGTTTGAGGCTCTGCTGCTCACTGTCAGCTGTAGAGTCTTCTTCAAATGATTCCCTACAGCTATCTTGGCTAATCTTTGAACTAAAGCTGTCTCTGTAGCTATCAGTCCCAGCCAAACTGTTATCAGGGCAAGTTTTTTTTCTAGATATTTGAATAAATTTAACATTAAACCAATATGGATATTTTTCACAAATTTGTAAAAACGTTGAAAAAAAAAAAAAAGAAATATATGGAAGTATCTATCCAGAAGCAAAAGTATGAAATTTATTTAATGTTAAAGCTAACAGCAAAAGCAATAGTTAGACAACATTGTAACAGTTAAATGTAAGGTGAATGCATGTTTCGAGTATGTTTCATAAAAGGTCTATAGAAATCTAAAATATAGGGTGGGTGTGCGCATGCGCTAAAAAAAGGAAGCAAGGAGGTAGAGAGCGCGAAGAAAATGACGATGTTTTGGCAGTGAAGTCGTTGCATCAATGAACCAATAAAATCATGAAAATTTCCTGAACGTGGGTTGTTTAATGTTATAAATCAGACTATAATATGTAATAACAAAGGAGTAGAGAGGAGAGCGGTTGGTATTTGTTTTTTGAGTTTGTACCATGAAGCTAACAGCACAAAAGGCTGTGACAAACATGTACCTAAGTACAGGTGAGTCCAGGTCAGTTTCTTCCACCTTGTTGTCAAAATGTGAGATACTCGTGTTACGAGCTAGCTTGAAATGTTGTCTAACTGGCTCAAGTCTGGCTCTAACATTTGGTGAGCAGTCAGAGTCCTCACTAATGTTGCTAATTATTGATAGTGGACGCATGGGAGTTTTCTGCATGAGGAAGATACCACATTTAATAAGACAACCATATTTTTTAGATAACTATAGGATTAACAAGTGATTAACAATTTAAAGTATATATTCAATGTATATCATATTGTAATTGAAAAGTAGTCTGTTAGTGTTAATTGTGTTAATGTAAAAATAAGTGGACTTTTTTCATATAATTTTTTCATCTATAATGCAACATGTTGTTGTCTCATTACAAAAAAATTAGTTGAAGGAAAAGAATTTACCCCAGGAATTTTGATGTCTGTTTTTTTCTGCTGCTGTCTGTGTCTTCTTAAAGAACGTCCACGTAATGGTATTTTGTTGCTGCTTGGTTTCCGTAAAGTCTGTCTATCATCACACACCTTTCTGTAAAGTCGTAATTTATGTTTCAAATAAATGATAATCTACCTAAGTGTACTGACATCAAACTTATCACAATGACTTTTATAAACAGATGTATTACCTTCAATTCTAGTGTTTTTATTCATATTATAAATATCATTATAAATTATTGATATATTTAGTTACAGCAAAATGAGTTGTTGGAAAAAATAGGAAGTGGAACATAAAAGACTAAATAGGATAATAAAAGTTTTGTGTTGATTTCAGAAGTAATATACAAATCTTAATAATTATGTAAAAAAATGCTGAATAGTTTATTCCTATATCTCTAGAACGAGATATCAAGAGATCATTGTATTAAAATTGTAGATTTCGTTTTTGATATCATACAAACGGGGGGCTCAATTAAATTAAGTAACAACCATAAATAAATAGTTTATTCCATTTTCAAGAATTTAGGATGATGTACCAAAAAGGTATGAAGTCTAGTGCATTTTGTTTTATTGAGAGCATGTTAAATGTTTTAAGATATAAATATTATAAAAAATGTTTTCCAGAAAACCTTATGGCTTTGTCCACTTCCTCACTCCATTCTTTAGCATTTTTTTTGTCATCTGAATAAAGTACAAGGCTTTCTTCTTTGCATGTGATCTGTGTAGACAAATGTGTAATTATAACAAAGAAAAGAATAAAAAATTGAAAAAGCTTTTTTTTGGAGAGCAAAATTAAAATAACCATGACATAATAAAAGAAATAGATTTTCAACTCGTAAAGAAATTACAAAATGTATGTGATGGCAGTGTCTATTCAGAGTACCCAGCTATGATAGGTACCTGACTGATTAGGTAAAATAGTAGCTGGGCAAAATGCTGACCATATCATTTCATCATTGGCTAGGTCATGAAACCGGTGAACTATTTTATTTTGTGCCCTATGGACTGTTAGGGGAACTCCCTTGTTTGAAATTTTCATCATTTGTTGAATTTTAATAGAATGAATTAAAGATTAAAGGAAACGAACTTCTAACTGTATTAATTGGCAAATAAATAATCCTTAATATTAAAAAAAAATACAAAAATAAATTGCTTATTCTAAAACACTATTTTTAAAAATTGCTTGGAGAATAAATAATTTATAGATAGTACCTTTTGTACCTATGCATTTCCATCTGACTAAAACATTAGTTAATGTTTTCAAAGAAGCTCAATAAGTGTTTAGAAAGATGTAAACATACAAGTTAACCATTTACAGTTATGCATGGAACTAGTTGATCAAATAGTGACCGAACCGAGCAATGTTATGAATAAATTTGGCATTTTCAAATGGTCCCAATTTTTTTAAATTAGTCATTCATAGGCAGTAGATGTAATTACATAAATTAAAATTTTAATGTGAGTGTAGTACCAAAAAAATTATGTTCTAAAAAATGAGCATCCAAATGATAAGGACAGAAATGAAAATGAAGGATCAATTGGTTCAGTTAAAGAACTTATTTACATTTCACAGTCCATAAATTCTTACCTATAACGAAGGGCAACTTACTCTAAAAACACCCCCAGTGTCAGATTTACCAAAATTTGTTATGAAAACAGTTTCAACTTTGCAGTGGCGTAGAGGAAGAACACAAGAACAAGTGTACTGCTTGCCACCCCCATCAAGAAACTTTGGTTTTCCATAAAGAAGAATGTCAGAAAACAGAAAAAACATTCTTTCATAAGATTTCCCTCCTTTTCGAGACACCTAAAAAATGGTAAGAAAAATAATAACAGTTAAATGTAATATTTTGTCTTAAAATTATTGAAATAAAAATAATAATTAAAAGGCACCAACTTTTTTTAGAGGTCCTTCTTTAATAAAAATTCGTCCTGGTGCCAACAACTTGGGAGCTGAGCTGTCAAAGCTGCGCTGTATTGCAAGCATCTTCATGAAATTTTCATTTTGTCTGATATGCTCATTTATGTGCATAGCAATATCTGCCATTCTTTCTGCAGCTTCTGTAACAGCAGCAAATATATTAAATACAACTAAAGTAAGATTTGAATTTTAAACAAAACTGAACTTTTAAAGAAAGATCTTAATGATAAAGTATTACACTGTTGTACCTGAGATTTTCTGATAGTCATGATGCTCATCAGGTGTGTTTTTTAGTAGTTCTTCAAGCAGCATTTTGTATCTGAAAAGTTCAATTACAATCATTCTTAGAACACACATTTATTATTCTGGGAACAAGTATAAATCAATAAAGTGCATAGAATTTGGCATATAATCAATCACATTTATTATAAATTTCTAAGGCTAAAATCAGTAGGCCAACATGAGTAATGTAATTTTTAAAAACTAATAATAAAACCTTGGAATTCGTTGTACAGGTGTTATTAAAAGTGCATTAAGTTTTAGTCCCTTAACTTCTGGACGATCTTCTTGCCTTGCAATAAACGAACTGAATTCTTGACTTTTAATCTGCCACTCCTAAAAAATTAAAGAAATTTATAAAATTGTTATAGCTATGTCAGAAATGAAAAAGGTTTAAGGGTTCGATTATAATTGTTGCCTAGTGAGTAATGTAGCATCAATTGAGGAACACAAAATCAAAGATGTTTATGCTACTTTACGCTTGAAAATACATTAACTGGGCAATAATTAATGCATGATTTGAACATTGACTAAACTTAATGACAACAATCCAGACGATGGGACATGTATATGCAGCCAGTTAAACCTACTAACCCAGCAAAAAGATACCACTCTTAACCCTTCGAGACTGGGCCTCCCTGGCCTAATTTCTACCATTTCCTGAGCTCCCAGTCCCTAACTGATATTCACTTATCTGTTTCTAACTTTGCCTATAACTTCTGAACCTTTGGAGAAAATCACGCCCCATTATATAATAAGGCTCATTCAACGATTCAGCAAGTTATGGTAATTCTTGCTTCTTTACGAATAAAATAATTGTTTTATACTACTTACTAAACATAATGACATAACTAGAGTAGCTTATCTCTGTATTGTTATTATAATAATAAATATAACCCAATAATAAAATAATATAAAATAACCGATTTTTTACTTCACAATGTATTTTACAAAGTGCAAAGAATTTCACTTTCAACTTTCCCCAAAAAGATATGCGTTGTTTTATTCAGTACGCTGCTAAATATATTTAATAAGACGGATTACCAGCCTCTAGGACTCTGACGCTCAATTATCGGGTTGGAAAACTGGCATTTTGGACATATATGCCTAATTTTTAATTACACTAACAGATAGAATACCATTTAATTTAAAAGAATTATCAATGCAGTAACTTACATGTAATGTATTTAAAGCTTGCTGGTGGTTATTTGCGTAAGTAGAATACAGTTTTAGGAAAGGAGCCAGTTGGGTAAAAGCTTGACCAATAGTCGTCTGCTCCATGGTTTCTAGCAGTGTTACATTCACTTCTCGAATCTGCTCAAGATTGCTGAACAGCCTGCCATGGACATCATCAGGTACTAGGCATGCAAATCGTAGCGGGAAATCAAAAAACTAAAAGGAAAAGATACATTTATAAAGATCTTAATTTCACAATAATTGAAGTATCATTTAAATTGAAAACTGATAAATAAAAAATGTGAATGGTTAAACCTAGTATTAGTAATAGATAATGATTAATGTTCTAAATATTTGTTTTGAAATTTGTTTAATATAAGTGTACCTTATTGATAAGTTCTAAATGCGTTAAGTAAGTCTTTTCAGTATCAAAAAGCTCTTTTACAATTTTCCTCCGTCTTCGCTCTCTGCGTGCAGTTTCTTGAGCAACTTTATCACTCGGACTAGTCGCATAAATCACACCTTCTCCTGACAGCGACATCTTGACAAGTTATCAGTTCCTAATTAAAATAATATGAAAATATTAGAATGTAATTTCAAAAACTGAATAATCAGAATAAGAAGAATCACACTTTTACTTATAATATTCAATGGTGTTGATGTGAAGATGAACAGTATTTTCTGTAATTGTACATGTGATGTTCATGTAAGTTTGATATAATTTGTCTTTTCCCTGAGCATAACAGCTCAATGAAATGTATATTCATTGCATATGTTATAGGCAAATGGATGGAGATCTAGCTTCTAGAAACCTGTGGGACCACATTTTTAAAAAGTAGTCTTATTTAGTTTAGGTCTATAGTCTATGGGATAGTCAATAAAATATATTAAGTTGTAGGGGGACAGATGGTTTATCATTGTAGTTGTGTTGTTGTGTAGTGTAAAGTGAAATAAATTTAGACAGTAAGCATATGCGTACTAGTATTAAATTGCGTACTAGTATTAAATTTTATTTTAAAAGCTAGAAATTGAAATTGAACCTTTTTTTTTTTACCAATCCCAAACTCTACCACTTGAAATATCTAATAAAATGTATTATGCCTAGGCCTATATTTCAGCTTATTAATGAACATTTAAGTACTTGGGTCACTTTTATGCTCGATTTAGAATTCTAAATGAAGATTTTCAGTCTAGAATTAGTAGAATAATGAATAATAGAATAGTACTAGATGTAGAATTTCTAGGAGATAGAATAGATAGTAGATACTCTGGGTGTAGATTAAATTATAGATCTAGGCCTATGCCTCTACCGTTCTACGAATAATGTTTTGATCAAGATCTTAGATATAATAATTTCATTAGGCCTAGTTAGTAAGTTACACTATTTTCTAGATCTAGTTAGGAAGATTGAAGATTAGATTCTAGATCTATCTTCTAGTCTAGTATTAAATTCAGTATAGTTGAGTATGGCGTAGTATAGGCCTACTATTTAAGTCAGACTGAGTCAGTATATGAGTATAATATTATTATATTATAATAGGCCTAGTTATTTTTTTATTAGACTTAGACTACGACTTACCCCAAATAATCGAGAAAAAGATGATGGTCACTGTGTAGTAAAAAAAAATATGAAGTAAAATGTTGTAGTGATAGATTTGTTGTTGTAGGAAGTATTTTTGAAATTAGTAGGTAAAGAGGTCAGAGTTCAAATAAGGGATAGTTGGCATGGATGTTAAAGATAATTTTTTGTTTAAAAATAGATATATCAACATAATTTTATCTGTTGTAAGAAATTATAGATTTTAATGTATTTTATATATTATAGATATAAAAATTACAATTTTATAGGCCCAATATACTTACGTTAAAAATAAAAAGGAGATTCAAGTCCATATATTATATCTATACCAGTGTAGTATAATTAAAACTTCGATTTTTTTTTTTTAATTAAATATCTTTGTATAAATAGCCTTTTTTATAGTCATAGAACAAATTTTTTAAATAGGTAATAACCATTAATAATAATATTTGCTGTAGTGCATTTGTCTGCATTTATGTTTCAAAATTTATTGTTAGTGCAGAGTGGTTATGATATTCAATAAATTTAAATATTTAATTATGTAAAAGTACTGTACTGATTACAGATAGATCTTATTAGTTCTTAATTTTCAGTGTTTGGGGTGGGGGGGGGAGGGAGGGAGAGGGATCTAGCCTTTTCTGGCAGAGGGTTTGAACTTGCGACTTTTTCGAATTTATCAACCATGAGCTTTTGCCGACTTGACAACGCCTCCATCACAATTAAAGATATATGTCAAATGGTTATGTGCCATTGAGGTTATGTGCCTATTTCAGCCTGCTTTTCTTTTTGGATTTGCTTCAATAGCGTTTGTCCAACCAAGAATAAACTAAAATGCAACAATTGTTTCATTTTGGATTTGTCTCTCCTAGAAGAGTGGCTCTAGAAGAGTGGCTGTCCAGAGCTAACAAGAATCATCTGCCCAAGTACTGACAGATAATATTGTAGTAATGAGTTGATATAGGGTATGTAGGGCCAAATGGAAAAGAAGTTGGTAATGTATATAGAAATTAACAGATGAAATCATACATTGTGAACAAAGATTTTGTGAATAAAAATTGTGAAATGTATTCTATTTAACTCCATTGAAAATTTATTTGAACAAAAAAAGGAATAAATGCTTGTACATTCTTGTACCATATAGAATACCTGACAGACAAATATGCATCTCATACTCAGTTGTAGCAGAGAGAAAACAATGAATTCTGAACAATAAACAGCAAGCCGATACAAGTATTTAATATAATATTTATGATTTACAATTATCAGTGTAATAAGATTAAAAAGAGTACATTTTTGTACTAACTAGGAAAGGTTGAATGAAAATGCAATTGTAGAAGTGAGCAATTAAGCAAGAGTAGTCATAAAAACAAACAAATAAAGAAAAAAAGTTAAATAAACAAACAAAGTTAGAAATAGAATAATAATTTGAATTTGAGTAATGAAGAGAAACCTAATTAAAATAATGTTGTTGCGTCATGAATAACAAAAAAAGGTATTCAAGTAATCTATAATTACAAAAATGAAATGATGTAAAAAAGGAATGACATTGTTAAATAGGCCTTATCTGGAGAATCCCACAAATTGTTGTTAATGTGGTGGTAATGTATAAATAAAAAAAAATACATAATACATTAAAACAAAAAAAAATTAATGTGTTTGAATGTAGTTAGTGGAGATTGAAACCAGGTGTTAACTATGTTGAGGTTGTGAAAGATGATTGGTCGAATAGGAAGGTGTTGCGCTTCATGCTTAGGGAAGAAGATGTATAAAATAAAGTTTTGAATTTATTTAGTTTCCTTGGAATATAACTTATATGCTGCATGCAATCTCACAGATGTATTTATCCAATATTGACAAAAGTATGGAGGTGGCTATAGGATGACAGAGGCCAAATTGATATATCAGTCTTTGTTCGGCAGCTTGAATAGCTTTGACTGACCAGATGAACCTTTGGCAAAATAGTCTTGTGTTTGTCAGAGCACGGCAGGATAATGATGGATTTTCCCAAGTAGGTGCAGACGGTGATAATGGTGATGATGATTTCTTGACAGATTTGCAGAATAATGTTTGTTGTTAATAACGAGGTTTGCAATTTTTCAATCAGTGAGGGTGTTGTTGTTGTAGCCAGTCAAGGGTGTTGCTTCAGATTCTGGAATGTGACAAGGGATACTGGAAAAGAAGAAAAGAAAAAAGGTAGTATGAAGTAAATTTGATGTTTGTAATAAAGAAATGAATGAATGAATGAATGAATGAATGAATGAATGAATGAATGAATGAATGAATGAATGAATGAATGAATGAATGAATGAATGAATGAATGAATGAATGAATGAATGAATGAATGAATGAATGAATGAATGAATGAATGAATGAATGAATGAATGAATGAATGAATGAATGAATGAATGAATGAATGAATGAATGAATGAATGAATGAATGAATGAATGAATGAATGAATGAATGAATGAATGAATGAATGAATGAATGAATGAATAAATGAATGAATAAAGAAAGAGTGAGTGAGTGAGTGAGTGAGTGAGTGAGTGAGTGAGTGAGTGAGTGAGTGAGTGAGTGAGTGAGTGAGTGAGTGAGTGAGTGGGTGGGTGGGTGGGTGGGTGGGTGGGTGGGTGGGTGGGTGGGTGGGTGGGTGGGTGGGTGGGTGGGTGGGTGGGTGGGTGGTAAAAATAATATAAAAATCAACAAATTCATCAATCTAATCTAATCTAATCTAATCAATCAATCAATCAATCAATCAATCAATCAATCAATCAATCAATCAATCAATCAATCAATCAATCAATTAAAAAAATAACTGTACAATATGCTGCCCACTATTATTAAATATAGCTGATAAAATAATAAATGTATCAGCATAAATAAATAATCATTGTAAATCACTAATAAAAATAATTAGTAATTTAGAATAGAAACACAAAATCTCTGAATTGTGTTTACAAAGATGATAGTGCAGTGGGCTTGTTGCACTGAGTGTTTCTGTAAAGTGTTTCTGTATATTATATTGAAAGCATGTATGTACTATTTTAAAATAGTTTCTTAATGAATATGTAGTTTATAGCAACCCAATAAATGGAAATATGGGTATGTACCAGATAATCCACAAACTAACCAAAACTTGACCACAACTTTGAAATTGGAATATTGTATTCCATAGTTATCATAACAGAAAATAGGTCAAATGTTTGAAATAGGACTATAAAATGAATGTCAGTGTTGAAATAATGTATAACATGTTGAAATAATGTAACATGATAGCAAGGAAAAAAGCTAATGATTACCAATACTTATATATTGATTTAATATTAGTCCAGCCCATCAATGCTTTAGAATTGTGGGCTTCTGGTTACAAATTAAAATCATCATGTAGTTCTGTTCTGTATGTATGTAACAAAATGAGGAAGTTGGTTAACGCCATTTATTTATTTTTTCATATAGAATTCAATAATATGATAGATAGTTAGTATTTTTTTACACGTAGGGATTTAATTATAGCATAAAATAAAAAGTAAATATGAAGTTTGATTATGAAGGGAAATGGAAAAAAAAATGAAGTAGGATTTTAATATATTTTTTAAACAAACTGAATGGTCTTCAGTTTTCAATGTAAAGGGCAACTTGATATAGACTCTAGATATATAGAGGAGGAGAGTGCTTATGGGTTATATTTAATTGAAATATTAAATCCAAGTGAATGACAAATAAAAATAATTATAATTATTAGCAGATCTAGATCTAGATACTTTGGTGGCGTTTGTGTACATAATATTATCCTATTAAGCATGTATTGTATTATTTTATGTTTTAATTTTGAGTAGATAGGACTGTCTAATTTATCATTGTTATTACTAGTTATTACATATGATTTGATTATGATATGATGTAGATTCTAGATCAAGATCTAGATTTAGATCAAGATGTAGAATGTAGATCTACCTTACCACCAAGCTAATGCTAGTGCTTAGTGCTAAAGAAATTAAAAAGTGTAGAGTGTAGTCTAGATCTAAAAATAAAAGAATCTAGAATCTAGATCTAGAGATAGATTTGTAAGTCGCTTAGTTAACTATAATTAATGTAATCTATAAATACAAAAATGAATATCTATAAGAAATTTTGAAAATTATTGTTATTCCTGCTGAATGTAAGTTAAATTTGAATTAGTTTTAAACAGGAAATGGATTAATATATACAAAGTGATTAAAATCATGGCGGTTAGTGTATGTAAAGAAGTGAAACGTATTATAATCTTCGCGAAGACGTCCCATTTAAACGGCGAGGGCTAAAATTAATGTAACGTTATTTAAAAATATAATAATTAAAACTGGTGTAGACTAGTATAAGTAAGTGAATTAAACCATTCTTATTATTACTAATTTACACGCTAGTGTATTCATGTTAAAACGAAAACTATTTCCTCATTTTAGGGAAATAACACTGTGTCAATGGGCAGAAATATGATCGCTTAAACGGTTTGTTCCTATATGTAAGAGGTGTTGACAAATTTTAAGCGTAATGTGATTGGACAGTGTTTTAGACGAGAGGGCGTCTTCCTGTCCAAAGTTATGAACCGCCTCTCGCTCGCCTCGTTGGAAATTGGTGCGCTGCGGGGCTGGCGAAGGGGAATCGAGCTAGAAAATGTTTCTGGCAAGTGAAAGCTGTTGTTTTTGATGGGAGCGCATCGATGCGCCAAAATGAGTCTATGATTTGCAAATTGAAGAGCGCAATTCTGGTTAAACCGACCAAAGAGTCTGTGAGTGCATTGAATGGAAATATTTAAAAAAATTATGAAATTATGAAAAATGTTTTTGATCTATCCAAATACAATTTCTTTAAAATTTCAGAACGCTATTGAAAAAGCACGAAATATAATTCGCAGGAAAATAATTTTAAAAATGCCGAAATTGAGAATATTCGAAAAATTCAAACCAAGCACAATGCATAATTAACTTTGAATTAAAAATTATATGGCTGTCAGCCTTTTAACGCAGCAGGTTCGATTCCTGCCCCAGGCAAGAAAAACTTTAAAAATTAGGGTGGATGAGCACAATTCGCCTGGTGGCTCACGTTCAAAGGTTGGTTGTAGAAAAATTTTGA